TTGCGGGAAGAACGACGTGTCAAACGATTCTTATATTGTTCCGTGTTCATTAGTTGCCGTCGTGAAGATTTTACTGAGCCGTTACCTAGCAACGACACGGGGATACATATACAGACACATAAACTGATGGGAGGAATTTAATAGTAAGTCGTAGAGACGGGCTCAGTTGCCAATATATGCATACCAGTTTTTATAAAGATAGGTTCAGGCGTTCAAACGTTGATGGGGGCATACACAGACACACAGAAAGCATGCCGATCTCATAAGCATACTTTTATTTTTTTAATAATAAGGAACGTACGCTAAAATCGGCGCAGGGATATTGCACACGACCCTGTCTATGTTACCTTGGAAACGAGACCGACTGTTGTTGATTAGGCCCTTGAATACCGAACAAAAACGAAATCCGCCCGACCGACAGACTCGGTTTCGGCAAAATTGGAATTTCGCGTTTAGACCCCTCGTGCGATTGCAGTTGTCTTCCTGGGCAGTTATATTTGAGGATGTGGTCTCCATAAACTATTGAAATGTAACCAAAGAGCATAAAATGATGAAAAGTACGTATTAAAATATCGTAATACAAAGTCATAAAAAAGCAGTTCACTAAGAATATAAATTAAAATTACGAAATATTGTAACAATAATAATATAATAATAAAGTAAATATTTAATCAGAGAATAGCAGGATGGTGAGGCGTGTACGGTGAAAGTCTCTGTGTTCAACGAATTAAGCACTACGCCATGAAGGCGTATGGGGGAGTGGATTATAGATCTACATTTTCTTGATCTCGGCACTAGCTTGAGGTGAGTGGTCAGCTTCACGCCCCGGACGCGGATAGGAAGTTGGGTGGATCCCAGAGCCGGTCTGGAAGATTTGGGGAAGAGAAAATTCTTGAAGCTACAGGGACTCGAACTCCGACCCCTCGCTCGTCCAGCCCGAGCCAGTCGCTATACCGACTAAGCTGCCCCGTTTCCTATGACGAAGCGCGTATTTGTGATAAATGAGAAGCCCTAAAACATGTCTGCAAGGCAGCCAGCCTGCAGCAAAATATGTTAAGTTGTAGATAGAAGCGTCAAACAGCGCACAACTTCTCTACTGCGCTTGAAGTTCGCGCATCTCGAGCAGATACTGCATATACAAACAAACAACAATCCAATTACATATTGTTTCAATGACACAATGTCCTCCTAACACAATCCCCGTGCCTTGTCGCTGTGAGGAACGGCTTACAAACCAAAAACAGGATAACTTGTGGCTCGAAACTCTCAAGCACCTCGCGGGTACAGCGCAAGAAACATCGCAACATGCAAACAAACAATAGAACAGACATCGAACTTATAATTCGAACAACAGTTGGCTTACAAGTACACGAATTTCTCGTCAAGTCGCCAATAACACGATAAGATGTAAACTGTAAATATGGCGGCGGAGACTGCCACGGCCTACCCGATGATATGCTTTTACTCAGGCTGACAAACTTCATTTGAAGAGACGGAAGTACTTAAAAATGCAAAGGCTGATAGTTTGGTGAATATTAGGGTTCAGAAAAATTCCGTTACATGAGATTCTCTTTGTACTCACTGATATTGCTATAATACGTCACCACAAGTAACGTACATCGTTACGTCATCATTAAAAAGTTACTAGGTTTTATTATCAGCATACTGTCACGTGATGGAATGACTATAGATGGAGTTTGCATTGCTAATCGAATTTATTGGACACTTTAGCACACAACTTGTGACTACACTCCACAGATCACTATCATACACACAGACTTGTGTTCTCAGTCACGGTCTTCATTAGCCGTTGCTTGGTAGCGGCTTCAACAGCGGACGTTCCCCTTCTCTGGCTTCCCGCACTGACCCCGGCCTCAGCTACCAGCTTCTGAAATTCTCAACTGGCTGCATGCAGACTCTCTCTCTCTCTCTACCCCTCAACTGATTGGTAATGTGAACGAGAGAGACAGAGAAAGACAGTGGGGTGGTAGTGAGAGACACTATATTTGGAGAGGGGCAAGAAACTATCTCAAATTTTGAAGGTTCCCAGGCAGTGTCTGCTCGTCCTTCTGCTAGAGGTAATGCGTTTTCGGAATTATTTTTCTTTAAATTACTTTGAAAGGGCTGCATTACAGCAGAATCTGACCTAAAATTACAGGAAAATTTGGATGCTGCCATTGAGAGGGGTGCACGTGAATTATGCAGTGCAACATGGCACGGACCGCACAGAAAACATCGCTTCCAACAGCTCCTTTATTGTCGCGTGTGTGTTGCGGCTACCTGACGGCTATTGCGTAATCATTTAGCAACTGGTGTGTTTACAGAGCCGTTCCCTAGCAGCAGCTGTCTCTGCTGGCTTTCAGCAGATATGCCACAATACTTTCGGTATTATACAACAGTGAAATTAGATAATAAATACACTGGATTTTTTTCTGCGAGGTTGTCTACACAAGGTGGGACGTGCAGTAGGTGGACTTCACGCTGAAGTTTCCACACTCCTCGTCTGCCGTACGCAGTTGTCAGCATAGTGACCTCCACGCCCGCGAGACGCCTCACTGTCGGAAGTCAGAAGCCTGCATAAAGTAACAAGACTGTATACTCCGTCCGTCTGTTTACAGAGTTTCAGCGGACATGACGTGAGCAAGCTGCCGTGTTTTTCTTAGCCACTGAGACACGAACTGAATTTAAACACTGGCAGAATCGGATGGTCTTGCTACAGGTGTGGCTCCAGTCTGCATTTCCCGTGTTCCGAACATGAAAAAACAAACAGAATTCGACGTCACTGCAAACCTGAAATAACAGAGAAACACGTGGAAAGTTTCCTACTTCTTGAACACGAATCACAATTCAAGATAGCTACAGTCCGGGTCGTAAAAAATGCCTCCTCCGACAGAGCCGACGAACAGATAGAAAACTATTCGGCTGTCGTGTGGTACAGACCAAATTGTTACTTGTTATTTTACTGATATGGGAGCCGGGATAGCTCAGTCAGTATAGTGGATAGGCTGCGGATTGGAGTACCAAGGTATCAGGGTTCGATTCCCAGGAGGAAGAAGAAATAAGTCTCGTCTCCACAGCGTCAAGACCGGCTCTTGGGTCCACCCAGCCTCCTTTCCAATGGGTACCGGGGCGTAAAGCGGCCGGGGCGTGAAGCTGACCACTCACCGCAAACTAATGCCGAGGTCAAGAAAATGTGGATCTATACATGGACTACCCCATACGCCTTCATGGCGTAGTGCTTAATTAGTTAAGCACAGGAACAGCTTCACCTAACCTAACCAACATGGCGATCACGCAGCTACTGCGGGATTATGCGTGCTTCTTGTTAATATTTTTATACATGCGTATATAAAAATTTTGTAGGAAAATTTCTTGACTACCTGAGCGACTACTAGCTTCTCATGAAGGGAATATTTTCCCCTGAATTAGCTCTGTACGTATTAGTTTCAAGTTAGCACACAACGCAGGCCGCGCCATAGCTCAAGCGGTTAATCGTCGGTTTCACACCGCGACGGCCCGGGTTCGAGCCCGAGTCTGGTCTTGTGGGATTTGTGGTGGACAAAGTGTTGATGGGGGTAGGTTTTCTCCAAAGTACTTCGGCTTCCCTTGCCAATTCCCATTCCACCAATTGCTGCACAATCACCATCATCCGGGGCTGGTACAACAGGCCAGAGGTGGTTGACGTACCAAGTGGACTCACCCCACTAATAATAGCACAAAACACAACGCTTCGATAAGTTTACTTGCTTATAACTAACTAGCTGCATGCAGCTGTGCCCTTCTTGAGAAGCCACCAATTGTGCAGCTACTCAAGAACTTCCCAACATTTTATGAAACCCGAAGGTTTATTACCACGAAGAGGTTAAATAGTTCTGTCCAGTGTGACTGGTTAAGATTTTCTTATTTCAATTATTCATGCCCTTACATGTTTCGGTCTTCAGAGACCATCTTCAGAGGGACACCTTTACATCAATACAGTTAGAAGCCACTGGACGGAACTATTTAACTTTTTCACAACATTAGTTCGACGGACCAGAATGAAACAAATCAAATGTATTACCATGTTCACAAGATCCCTCCTGAGCCAGACGAATCCAGTCCATACCAACCCATCCAATCTCTCTAAGATCCATTTTAATATTAATGCTTTCGTGGGTACCCCAAAATCTGTGAGAATGTTGGACAGGAGGTCCCTCCTAACTGAATCATGGGCTTTTCGCTAAATTGACAACAGCATTAATTTAGGCGTTTTGTCTGTTTCCTTTTTTCTGGCAACTATGTTCGAAAGCAGAGCCCCAGATACAACCTACGCAAGTACCTGTATCCCTTTCATGTCAGTATTTTCTGCGCATCACACTGGTCGTTCCCACCTACAGCCACGATGAGTACAATCAAAGTGTCACATTTTCACGGCCCGTTAGATATGGCGACAGAACAAACAGAGCAATGGAGACTGAATCAAGGCTTGTCAGCTAAATTTAACAGCCATTTAACACAAGAAATTGATGACTTTGAGGCGACTACACCAGAGAGAGAGAGAGAGAAAAAAAAAAAGCTGGCAACCAACCAAATCACAGCTAATCCATTCAAGCGAAACAGATCCTGACCTCCAAAACTTCGAAACACTTCAACTGTTATATATATATAAAAAAACATCTAATTTTAGAATGGACGCGCGCCGCGTGTTACAACGTTTCTAAAGAAGAAGAAAAAGAAGATGAATGGTTTATATTACAAAACATATGTTGCGTCTGAAAGTGGAATTTATTTTAGTCCATAATTGAAGTGGTATATCCCTTGCCAGGTAGGCCACTGGGCCACGCGAATGAGGTCACAATCAACTGTGCACTACACGAAGTGACCTTTATCAACTGGCAACTTATCATTAACAGTTAGTCGATGCACAGAAGTCAGGTTGAATCGCTTTAAGACTCGTTACAACGTCACAATGAATGGAACAAAGCTCTCAGTATTCCATGCCCTTATTTCTTTCTTTTCAGATGCACCCAAAGAACAGTCTGTGTTTATTATGCTGAATGGCGAGGAATCAGAACTTTGTTTCATAAATCTGGCAAACCCTAAGGTAAGCATGATCACTTCACTTCCACAGATTTTACTTTGTTTGTTTCACTTGGTAAATTTTCAACAGTTTCTTTTCCTTTTGCCTTAAGCGTGTAATTTCAGTTCCAGAAACACATTAATATTTACATACACTTGTGTGCATTCATGAGGGGTACCAAAACATGCCTATAATAGAAGTTGTTTCAGACCAGGTTTCATAATTAACACAGGTAATAGCTAATGTCATACTTCTCGCAACGAAATCGATCGTTGCATGATACACGACTACTGGTTGCTGAATATCGAACATCGAAATCCGTCTGATCGATACAGCCAGTTTTGACGATATCGATATTTCTCGTTTGGGCCCCTAGCGTGCGTAACGTTACTTTCTTGAAGATGCCGCCTATGTAATTTTGTTTGGGGAAATGGTCCCCATAAATTACTAGAACTTACTGAAACTCGTTAGAACTGTTTTAAATATAATCACAATTCTGTGTTATGGGGCCAATTTGAGGGCTCCTGCTTTTGGGGGAATGTTAATATTCACCGTGCCCTGATGTATGAGGGATAAACTGTTAAGAACCGAATAAGAAAGTTTCGACCAAGCGTTCAGGCGCTAGCGAGGCACACATACATACGTACAAACAGACAGCTTACCAAAATCATACAGCATTTTCATAAAATCTAAGAACACCAGCTAGCAGACGATTAATACAAGATAGCTATAACATTTACATTTAAATTTCCTATAGCATAAACATACAAAATTGACGAAGGTGATAACAACTTTTAACCCCTATAATCCATATATTGTGGAACAAATATTTTTATATTTAAATCTTAACTACTCGTAAAAAGCTTCATTATAGTGTTGTAATGTAAATTTACTTTCACTCTACAAGTAAGTATTCGCCCGCAACAGCAGACACCAGTTGCGCAACATGGGTACATATTGGGACAATTAACTTTAATAACTTGGGTTATAGATTATAGAAGTTGCCTGATGATGACCTAAATTGTAGACCGAAACATGTAGCTAGAAATCCGTGCTTATATTAAACAAGTAAGACACATGTAAGATTTGAGGCTTTCACGGCGGTGACTATGAAGAAAGGAGTCTTCTGGGATTTGGCACCGTGTATATGTCAGTCTACTTTTACCGGTTCTCACGGTCTCTTCGCTTGCGGATTTCTTATATTTTTCCTTCTACCCTGAAGATGGAGGCGATACATTCCTCCGAAATGTTGGTTTACACCACATACACACGGTGTCAAATCCCAGAAGACTGCTTTCTTCAAGTACGACACATGTCAACATCTGTTTCTGTCTTCACGCGAAGACATCCCGCTCTGCTGTTGTGCTGACGGTCAGAGCCATGGGATATACACACACAACAGAATGCGCTCTATAAAGCCGACCAAAGATCGCCGTTCTGGTATGGTGGGGGTTACCATAAAAACTTATAAATCCGTCAAAATCTCGAGAACAGTACTTTTCAGCACCACAGTACTTTCTGCTGTATGCTGAGCTTATGGGTAAGTGAAGGTAACATTTCTGTCTGTCTGCTGTTTTCGATCGCGAACCTAATAGAGAACACCCAAAGATATTATGAAATGTACTCCGCACTCTTACCAATATGTACGGTAGCCACGGCTGTTAAAGCGATATACAGTTATTGCTGTATAGTTTTGGGGTGCGATTTGAATCCTCGTTTCAAATCTCTTTTTTTTTTTTTTTTCACGCTTGAAATTACGTATCTTGATTTGAGGACTGTTCCTTCGTCAGAGTTTTGGTTCCCACACAGAGCAACGTTCCCCAGTTTAATTTTACCGTGAACTCTTTAGCACTCGAAATGTTTTTTAAGAAACCCCAGATACATTTCCGATACATGGAGTAAAAAGCTAGACCGCAAATGAGCAAGAATAATTGTAAATAAATGTTAAGTAAGGATATTAGATCAACGTATTATTTAACTGCATACATTTAGAAACAAAAGTAGACGAAAAATGAAGCTTAAACCGGTGTGCCATGTATTTGCAACTGTCAAAGCGAAGCGTGGTTTCTTTTTCCTTCACAAATTCTTTTTACGTTCGGCTTGATACAGGAAAGTTTGCGCAGCTTTCCGTCTGCCCTTGCGTTCTGTTTTTGTTGCTGCGCAATTCGAGAATCCAGTTTCGCACAAGCGCGTGTTCGCGAAAAATATCAGCTGATGTGACATTACTGAAGAAGTTTCAAAATAAAAACTACTTAAATACAGTCAATAATAATAATAATAATAATAATAATAATAATAATAATAATTCAATTCTTATTTATTTACGTACAAATTTAACAGGCTAGAAGCCAGTTACAAAGTTAGCACAAGTAAGACGAAAACAACAAAACATTTACATATAAAATACAAATTATGGCACATAACAATAATAATAATAATTCCATAAAAATCAAAATTATGATTAAGAGACAAGAAAAGAAAATTACGTATATTTATAATGTTGATGATGACGTACCTTCAGAGATGTTTCAGACACGATATACTAGCTGCAGGCCGATCACGGTGACTGCTCGGACTAAGGCAGTGGTTCTCAACCTCTGTCAGACCGCAGCCCGGTAATTTTTTTATAAGACGAGGGCCCGGTACCGGGCCGCGGCCGACGGTTGAGAAACACGGGACTAAGTCATGAACTGTCTTCGCCCGCTTGGACACTGGGGCCGTACGTTCGAATCCCATTCAAGGCATGGACGTCTGTGTGTTTATTCTGCGGAGGTAGCGGCCTTGCGACGCGCTGATCCCCAGTCCAAGGGGTCCTACCGACTGTGTATAGGATTATGAACCTGAAAAAAAAAAAGCGACCAGGGTATAACAAAGAGTTGTAGAGTTCCTGATGAATGAATAAATAGCAGCTGTAGATCTTATTGTGCGGCATGCCCGCTATTGGCTTGTTTGCAGGAGGAGCTGGACCGGACGGATCCACCAGATGCGTTCGTTGTCATGTACTCAGTCATCGACAAAGCGAGCTTCCAGAGAGCGGAGACCGAACTGGCCCGGTTACAGGACTGGGACCTCGTGCGCTCCAGACCGGCCATCTTGGTTGGCAACAAGGTGGATCTTGTACGTAGCCGAGCCGTATCATCACAAGGCAAGTCATCACACCATCATCAGTGAACACCCAGCCTGAAACTGACTCAGTACACAGGCCAACACAAACCAATTCTATTCCACAATTTCTTAGTGTTTCCATTATTTTGCCAACCCCCTGTATGTAATTAAATGCACATGTAATCTGAAAGTGTTATGGAGTGCCATCTCAAAAGTGTAATGTTTATCTAATTCAAATTAACTAAAATCTCATCACAAATACACTATACATTTAAAATGTAATCTTCCGGGTTATGTCACCATGTAGTCTTGTGGGGGCATTAATGCAAAAATCACTTCTAGCATGAAAATGGAGGCTTCATGTTTCTCAGAAATTTTGGTACCAACCTACAAGAATACACAATATCATATCCCAGAAGACAAATTTAAATCTTGGCATTCTGAAAATCTCACATCTTATATGATTTGTTTTAAATCATGGTGAGTCATCATTGGAAACTCACATCTCACTGGTCACAATTAGACGTTTACTAGGTCCTATTTTCAACTTAAGAGTACTAAGAGATAGCTCAATCAGTACAGTGACAGGCTACGGGTTCGATGGTCAGGTTTTGAGTCCTGGCAGAGGTAGGAGATTTTCTCTACTTCACAGAATCCAGACTGGTTCTGGAGCCAACCCAGCCTCCTATCTAACGGGTGCAAGGGATTCATTCTGTGGGGGTAAAACAACCCAGGTTGTGAAGCTAAGTACTACCTCCATCTAGTGCTGAAGTCCAGAATGCTGGAGCCATACCTTCGCTCCACCACATGTCTTCATGGTGTGGTGCTTAATTAAGCACAGGGACAACTTTACCTTTGTCGGAACCAAAACCATCATATTGTGCTGCATGCACAGGGCTTTCCTTTCATGATGTTGCCTACCCAAGATATGACATAACCTCAATGTTGTTGCAAGTAGACTACAGAAATTGAAATAAGAATGATGTATACATAATTTGTTTCAGATGGCAAATGCCTGGCATGCACGTATAGAGCCAAATTCATCGAGATCTCTGTAGGAATTAGCCACAATGTAGACGAGCTTCTGGTGGGCATCCTGAACCAGATTCGTCTCAAGCTCATCCATGCGCATCTTTCTGACAAGGAAGGTTCGGCACATTGGTACAAGAGTCGAGGCGTTGTGCGTGCAAGTATGAAGGCTCGACAGATGTTTACGTGGTTGTTCGGGAAAGAAGACTCTAAATTCAAGAACTGTGAAAACTTACACGTTCTGTAGTGACTACTGAAGGGGTACTTTGTGCTAATAAACTGACTATCCAAGTGAACGCCAGTTGGAAAAACAAAAATATATAGTTACTAATCATTTTCTGTGCAAACAGCAAACTTGAATATGGCATTAACAGATGATATAAGGTTCTGCATAACCTGTACAATCACATCTTTATGAAGGAACTACCAAATGATCCATCAGATATAACAAGGGGAGATCACGTCTTCTTCCTTTTCTTCATCCCTTTTGTATCTGCATTCTTTCTTCCTTCTCATATTACTTTCCAGTCAAGTCCCTTTATCTGTTCTGACATCTTTTTTTTCCTGTTCCTTCCTCCCTCCCTCTCCTTCATACATAACAGAACTTCTCTCACTGAACTTCTTCCATTCATTTATCCTATCTGTCCTACTGTCATTTCTCCCCCCAATGTCCTAGTAACAGCAGAAGAGAGAAGTGTTTTCTCAATTTCCTAGTAATGACAGAAGTCTGGGTTTTTCCTGGGCATGACAGTAACTCTCTACTGTTTATATGTAGACAATAAAATATTGTCAGGACCAAAGAAGTAAACAGTAATGATCAGATTGAAGGATCCCATGATGGCTAGAAAAATGAGAAATTAAAGGCAGTAAGGTAATAAAGTGTCAACAAGACAGAACTAAGTATTTACCTGATTAATAGCTCAAAGAATCAAAAGTGGGAAGCAAATTATATTTTTGTCCATACTGTAGTTTAATTTATAAAGAATGAAATGCATTTTCTGCTCCAAATAAAATCGATTTGTCTTGTATTATTCTGATATTACATGCTTATAAATAAATTGTTTCTAGGAATCATTCTGGAATCTAAATAAAGTAATTTAAAAAAGGTAGAGTAAATAAAAAATGAAATTAGATGTTGACATTGAGACCTTTGAAGCTCAGGATATCACAAAACTTATTTACTTATGGATTTAGAACACAAATATTATTGGAAAATGATCTTAGAATGAAAATGATAATATGAAAAGAAGAGTTGAATTCAGGGTAAAAATAAAAACATACAAACTCAGGAAATGTCTTCTCCATATCTTCAAAAAACACAATAAAACATATTACAATGGATGTTAAAATTTATCTGTCTAGTGTCGCCAACTTTCACAGAAATAATACAGTGCAGTATGTATCACCAATGTACACTATATTATTTATAATTAGAGAAATGTTGGTTTCTGTGATTCCAAACAGGAATTGTGTCATTACCAAGCTAAACATAGCATAACCATTGTCACTATAAGAAATATACATATGTTTCAATTTATTAACAAACCCTTTAAAGCACAGTGGTATCTATATGTACCACCTGCCTTAACGTTAGGAGAATTCCACATTCTGCCTGCACAGTGTATTTATGTGTTCCATATGATTCTCACATTAAACTGTGACTATTTCCCCCCAAAATATTAACCAGTTGGGCTTTGTAATAGAGATGGAATGTGTTTCCTGTGAGGTAGGAACAGAACTTTTAAACATTGTTTAGATGAACTTAAGCTTCAGTCATCATTTCCTGTGCATTTCTCCTTAGCATTAAGATCAGTAAACAGTGGCTGTTCATAAAGTTTGTATTTCAGTTTCAGATCCATTGTCATATTTAATTATGTGACTTGTAGAGTAGACAAACTAAATGAACAGACGATGTCCAGAGAAAGTAACAAATTCGGTATTTCATCCAGAACTCTCTCCGGTAATTTAAATTTCAATTGTATGCCCCATTTCATATGATCTATGTAAATGAGAAAATTAAGAACTTAACAGTGGCTATGAAATGTTCTCTGCGTGCATTCTGCATGAATGGAACTACTACAGTAGATTCCAAATAAGACTGAGTATATAATTGCTCTGACCAGAAACTCAAAGCAACATGACTTAAAAAAATCTGTGCAAGTTATCATGTTTCCTTGGACCAGAAAGAAGTGTACATGAATATGTGTTTTGTACTCACTAACCACTTTTAATCTGGCCTGGAAATCACATTTCTAGGACTGAAGACTAAGGAAAGCCTTGACAAATATTAGGATCACCAAATGAAGGATAACATGGGCAAGGCATGGAGATTGAACAAGAGAGAAGTGCATAGAAAGTTTTGGTAGGAAAACTTGAAGGGAAAAGTGATAGGTGAAGATGGGAGGATATTAAAATTGATATAAAGAAACAGGATGGGAGTATGTTGTCTGGATTCATCTGGCTTTTGATTAGCAGTAATGGGCTCTTGTGGACATGGTAATGACTTCTGGGTTCCATAAAATGCTGGGAATTTCTTGTCCAGTCGAGCAACTATTAGATTCTCAAGAATGTCCCTGCTCTGTGGAGCTAGGGCTGAGATAACGGCAAACATGTCAGAGTTCCAATGTGCCCACAGGTTAGAACTTGCATTATGACACAAACATATTAATGTCAATGTAAGATTTGAGGCTTTCACGGCAGTGACTATGAAGAAAGCAGTCTTCTGGGATTTGGCACCTTGTATATGTGGTGTTAACCGACGTTTTGGAGGAACGTATCGCCTCCATCTTCAGGGTAGAAGAAAAAATATTAGAAATCTGCAAGCGAAGAGACATTCCTCCAAAACGTCGGTTAACACCACATATACACGGTGCCAAATCCCAGAAGACTGCTTTCTTCATATTAATGTCAATCTGAACATTTAATAAACATGTGAAAATGTAATAAATAAAATTTCCTTGATGGTGGAAACAAAAAGGCCACTGAAATTCTGGATTTCAGTTACAAATTAATGACACTGCTTGTGAAAGAAAATTTTATCATGCATGAAAAACTGAACACATTCTAATTCAAAACAGAAATACAAGAGCAGTCAGAATGATACAAGTGATGATACTGTATTCAGCACTTTCTTTTATGTCTGAAATCAACGGACACCTGTGTTTCTTCTGATGTTATGCCACATTTCATGACTGACCTCTGTTATAACAGAATTAGAAATGGGGGGGACATACTGAAGAAGTGTTTTACAGTTTGCAGTTTACCCAAAGTTGTGAAAATCAGACTTCTGGAATGTGACACTGTGTAGCTCAGTAGATAGGTTCTAACTTGTCAGAGAACACATGACCTAACATTGGAAGCAGCAGGTTCCTCAAGACATTAGTTCCTATCTACCATGTTGCTTTATGTCACACCCCAGAAGACAGTGACTGTCACATTTACTGCTGGGACAACCTCAAACCACAAATACAAATCTATATTTTGATGCACTGTAAAACAATTCAAAACTATATACAGTATTGTGTGTTTTCGTTTAATTTGAAGTAACGGTTATGACCAGTGGTGATTTTATGCTGGGTCAATGATGTGGAACCTGCTTGAACTGGTAATTTGAAGGACTTTGATGGAAATGCAATTAAAAGAATTCTAGTACACACATCCTGTCAGTATAGTGAATGACTATTGGCAGAAAAATAGTCATTTTGTTCCTAGAAGGACTTGGATCTTCCTCTTCCTTGCAGCATTGAGATGGATACTGGAACCTACCCATCCTCTTATCAAAAGGATACCAAGAATGGGCAAAGCCCAGATTGTTTCTTGTGGGGTAGAGGGGGGGGGAACAAGATAATTTATTCATGTTTAAGCCCTTCAAGACTATTTTTACTGATTGTCCTATTGTTACATCACCACTGGTGGGGGAGGGGGTATCCTGCATAGCGCAAACACATTTTAAAACACAATTTTAATTTTTAGTACTAATTTTTGGTGCATTTCTCTTTCTTCAATTTTGGTTATTTTCCAAAATTCCAAGGTGTGGGGCAAGATGCCTGGATTTTGCCCACTCTGCTAGCACACGTGGAACCGAGAGCATTTTCCCTTGTGTTAACCAGACGGAGTGTAAAGCTGACCACTCTCTTCCAGCTACAGCTTAGGCTAAATATGTGTGGAGCTTTACCTCCACTTCCTTGTAAGTCTCTGTGGTGCAGTGCTTAATTAATCACAGGGGCTTTTTCTTGCCCTCTCAGATCCGACAAAAATTTAATCACACAAAGGACTAATTATGAATGTGTCACTGAACAATCTGGGGGTAATATGCCATTGCTCTTATGGGTCTGACGGACAGTTCTGTTGAACTCGTAAATTCTTTTTGTAAAGTCACCAATCATCATATGTGATTTGTGACTGAATAATAACTTTAATCAAGACAATACATTGTAACCAAAACAATTCTGATTGTGCTATTTATATTTCTGTACAAATGGCAATCTTCATTTACCTTCATCAGTACAAGGAACCAATTTAAAATAATAATATGTTAAAGCCCCAATTCTCCTTTCTTTTGGAAGCAATGAGTGTGGACACTAAATTGAAGAAAGTGTTAAATGCAGGATATGTAAAACAGAAATGTTGGACTTGATATCACTAACACTGCATGTCATACAGGGTGTATATCATTTAAAACACACAAAAAACTACAATAGTATAGATAAACTTACAGCTGATATCTCTATAACAAGAGAAGTGATCAGGCTAGTGTTTGAACACTGTGGAGCATAGCACCTGTTGAAGATGTTCAAAAGTGGATATGCTGTCTGTCTTGAACACTGTCTCTCTCGAAATTTTGTTACCAGTCAGTGTATGCATTGCTAAATCCTTCTTCAACAGCAGCGAATGATTTTGATGTGAAATAGTGTTCAAGAACAAACACATGATTTGCCTGTGAACAAACCCTGTTCACACCTGCAGAGCTTATCTGCAACTGGTGACAGCAGCAGCCTAGCAACCAGAGTGATAACAACTGGAGTGTCACAAGGAAGGTTGGGAGACTTCATTACAATGGGGGGACAGCTTCTGATTTCATTTATGTACCACAATACGTGATTGTTTGGGTTGTATTTTATATGGTACATCCTGTATAAGACAAAATTGTAACTGTGGGTGTCTGGAGGTCATGTCTGCCTGCCCATACAACAGTATCAATACCTAAAATATTCAACAGATTTTCTTAAAATTTGATAAGGGAGACCTTCACTAAAAATTATCATGCATTTCCAGTTTCCTGCCATATTGATCCATGATAAAACCTAGATTACACAGGCCCATGTGTGAACTCTTGCATGTATTTCATAAATGGGTCTACAGATATTACTAAAATTCAATACAAAAAGCTTCCTCTAAGAGTTATCTGGTGATCCTGATTTTAAGCCGTATTAATCCACAGTAAAACCTGGTTGTTTATAAGCCCATAAATGGACTTCTCCTATAAACACCTCCACTGACATTCTTTTTAGAAGTTAAACATGGGACACTATCACCAATTTGCATTTTATTATTCCTATTTTTAAGTGAGCTTCAAAGAACACTGTTGGTAACTTTGTGTACTATATTATGGAGTACATGCTCTCCAGTCTTGTTAATAATCCCTTTCCTCTCTTTCATCTTCATCTTTATCGTTTATTGCTCCACTTCGTTCCCTTCTATGACATGACCTGCACACTGTGCATTCAGAGCCTGAACGGACCAATAACTCCTGAAAGCTGACTGTGGTAAAGCTGTAACAAGGAGGGTAGATCTGAGAGTAAAAGTCCAAGAACAGCTCAGCATGCAGTTTGAGGACGAAACAAATGCACATAAATCACACGTGTCCGCTCAATAGTTTTACACTTCTGAATGCAGAACCAAAGGACAAACTTCCCATGAAATGCACATATTTACAAAGGCTGAAGCTTCCAGCTTAGAAGTCAGAAATTAAATAAGCCATAAGAACTTTATATTTCACATGAGTGTCTTCAAAAGAAGAGCCAGGGAGGTGCATCCAGTGCTCAAAGAAAGAACCAGTGCACCTGACCTCCCTGGCTCAACTACAGCCAACTATAATAAGATATTATAAGCAGCACAAAGCCCAACCTTTTACAATAATACCGTTACTTTACTTTACGTAATTTATGAAACATAAAGAACCTTATACATTGTAATTTAAAATAAGTTCATGTTATGTATGTCAAACCAGTTTGGTTATATACGAGTGCCTTCTAGTGTTTTTTTATATATATTTTTTATGTTACTACTGATTTTATGATGAATTTTCAGCAGTTTCAGCTCTATGAGCCGAGATAACTATGACATCACTATTTCTGAGGAACCACATTCCTTACCACTGTAAGAAAGTCATCAAATACAGGCGGAAGTGCCTGTTCCTGTCAACAGTATGGTTCCTTTCTTTGTAAACACCACAACAAGAAGGTAGATGTCTCTGTACTTAAATTCAACATGCCATGTGGATGTATGGATGAGTGGAGGTACAGCACCATATATTCTTTACTGAGATGGAGGTGAGTAGTTAGCTTCAGCCCCAGAGTCCCTTCAACAGGAGGCTGGGTGGGTCCCAGAGCTGGTCTGGACACTGTGGAGAAGAGAAACTCTATTGTCTATCTTGAGAATCAAATCCCAGTTGGGTTCTGTAGCCCAGTCACTATAGTAAGTGAACTACTGGAGCTATCCACCAAATGTGCACGGTTCAGAGTAGATGGAGCATTACTTCCATATTCCATTCATGGGACATTAATCATTTCAATATAAATATTACCCCATTTTAAACAACTCTTACAGTGTAACTAACATAATTTAAAGTGTTGATCCCAGGACAACTGGAAGTCAGACAGAGTCTTAAGATTATAGTATTCTGGGATGTGATGGCATGTGCTGTACTTTGACGGAGAGAAGGACAAGGAAAGTGGTCAGTAAAGGCTGTAAGCCTCAACCTTTACACTGTTCATCTAGAGATGCCACAAGATTCAACATACGGACAGCTACAGCAGAACTGTCCAAGAATTATGCCAGTGTTTTCAGTGTACGTTTGGTGGGAGGACTTTAGTAATGGTCTGTTTCTTTACTGAACGATAACAGTCTGGTATATAGGCAGTGTTTCAGTGGAACATGCTGCCTCCATCCTTATGTCAGAAAATCTTAAAAAATGCTGGTACTTATCTACCAAACTACATGGGGTCACATCCCAAGAGACCAAGATCTTAATACTCACTGCTGTGTGAACCTCAAATCGTGAAACAGTATAATCGTAAACCATCTGAAAACAAAAATATTCTTTTGCAGTAAAATATAAAGAGGATCATGTACATATGTAACGTGTATCACCTTGTGTATGTATGTCTGTAAACTAATCAAACAAACATTATAACTGTGTGTGTAAGTACGAATGTATGTAAATTTACATGGACAATACAAACTGCCAGTACTGTTCGAACAAATTATTTGTGTTATTAAACACTAACAAATCTGACAAAATATGTTTACCTAACATTACAGAAAAAAAAATTAAATTCATGGAATTCTTGTTACCACTGAGATCACAACCTTCTGTGTTCCTATCTGCACTCTAAAAATAAAAAGATTAAAATATGTAGGATTGTGACTTTGTCTGCTGTTTTGTGTTTGTGTGAAACTTAGTCTCTAATGTTAACAGAAGAACACAGACTGAGGGGGACTGAGAACAGGGAATGGCCCTGGAGTAAGGAAGTGACAGGAGGTTGGAGAAAACTGCATAATGAGCAGCTTTGTAACTTGTGCTCTTCTCCAAGTATAATTATGATGATCACCTAGGAAGATAAAACAGATGGGAGTATATAGCACATATGGACCAGACCAGAAATGTGTACAAAGTTATGATACCAGAACCTGAAAGAAAGAGACATCTGGGAAGACCTAGTCATAGATGTCAGAATACTGAGACATGTTACAGAATCACAATGGGAGGTGTGAATAGCGTTCATCTGGCTGAGGCTGGGGACTAGTCGTGGGTTCTTGTGAACATCTATTATATGTATACAGTGGCCGTCTTGTAGTGCACTCAATTTCACCTGTCACCTCACAACATGTTTCGGCAACACAGTGCCACCATCAGGTGTCCCAACTACGTCAATCTATTGCATTGCTTGCCCTCATATGTTTTCACAACACCATTTAAAAAGTATTTAAAAAGTCCGTATTTGTCAACTATGATAAATTTACACTCGCTAAAACTTAAGATAATTAATCTTGTCTTAATTAACACTTGCATGTGGTTCTTGTGAACATGGTAATGAACCTTCAGCTTCCATAAAATGCTTTTTTTTCACTAGCTAAGCAACTATTAAGTTCTCAAGAAGGATTCTTCTCTGTATAGTTAGTTATGCACTTTATAAAGTATATTTATTTAATGTACCTGTCCATAGTTCTGACTACACAGCATCAAATGGAAGGATGAATAGTTGAGGAAAACCATGAACATTTGCGGTCAGGATAGCTGCTGTCTGAAGCTAGCAGCCCGCAAATGAAGGCCAGAACCGACCCCTTGGCCAAGATCACTAGGTAACTTGTCACCATTTAAACACTAGAGAATACATTGTCTGATAACTTCACACATTCCTGCAGTATGGCTAATAGTCATTTTAATTATTTTAACTTTCATTTTAAAAAGATTTCTGTAGTTAGTTGAGACACTGAGCTACAAGCTGGAAGGTTGTGAGTTTGATTCCTTATGTCATTGGATTTTTCAATTGACCTAATCCTTCCAGCTTCATGATGGACCTGGGGTCAAGACAGCCTCTAACAGAAATGAGTACCAAGAATCTTCCTGGGGGTAAGTGTGACCTCACCGCCATCTATGAGCCAACTGTCTACAAAACGTGGAAGCCTTAATATCTGACATCCCTATGGGTCTCCATGGCCTTTTACACAGATAGCCTTACCTTTGTTTTTATTTACAAAGAAATGACTAGTGCATACATGCTGGCCCCAGCTTCAGGGTCAAATATAGAATTAACATGTTCCTTTGTCTTTAGAAATGATCAACAAAATGATGCAGTCACATCCCAGAAAGTTTACAAGAACATATGACTGGGCCCTATCTTGAGTCCACTGAAGCTATTCCACAACCATATTTTATTTCTTTAAGGGCTACTCTAATATTCTTTTCCTATCTGTGCATATGTCAAATTGCAAATAAACAAGGAAAATATCAGAAAACAAAGTGGCTGGGAAAATATTTGCTGACATGACTGAACTGAGCAGTTTAGGATAGTACAAAATGAGGAACTTCATGCATTATAGATGTTGCGCGGTGTTGCAGGGGATTGCAAAGAGATCGGCCAGTTGCTAGGCTGGGAAGACAAAATCCTTTGAAGGACACAGAATGAGACTGGTTACTAATTTATGATGGACCTTAGGAAAACTGATTGAGGAAAGGGGAGATGGGTTTCCATATTATGTTATTGTTTAATTCTAGTACAATGAATTTTCTTATTTTTGGAGAACAATAAAGTCAAACTGCAAAGTACATTAATTGTAGGCATATGGTACAGACTGTACAGTCTGAAATCTGAGACTGTCAAGGAGGCGTCAAGATCAGTCTTCTGTCACACGTTGGGTGGTACACAGGTACTAACACCTATGCACCCAACTATAGAGTGTTATGTCACAGAAGAAAAGACAGAACAACTGAGTGTGAAAAATACAAATATTGAAAACTCTAAAAGAAAGCTATTCAGAACCCAAAATTCAGCCATTTTTGGAACAAAGTCTTGGGTTTAAAATTGTTTTGTGTCAATCAGTAATTATTGGCAAAATGAAGTGACCAGAACAAAATACTCGTAACTACTGCATTACAGAATTAGTAAGGTATCTATAATGACCCTCAGCTATGCAACATGTACGAGTACTAGGGACCAAATTTTATAAATACCTTACACAAAGCACAATATTTATTCATATACATTTTATATAACTCTGTACAATTGATGTTCACAGCTGTTTTAAAAAAATTAATTCTAACAGTAAATAAATCCAGGAGTGCTGCACTCATTTCTTTTGTAACAGAAGGTGCCCTTTGCGTTTCAGTTTACTGTCAAGTTTCCTTTGACGCTCTTCCTCCTTCTCTTGTTCCAGTGCTTTGTGTCTCTCCACAGCAAAGTCAATCTCCTTTGTAAGTGCCAATATTTTTTTCTGCAATGCAATAAGCAAAATAAATGTAGTCCATTCAAGAGATGCGCAGTACGGAATGTACATAATGAAGGGTGATAAAACTAACATTACAACTTCATAACCATTATGTCCGCCGCCTTCATGCTGCCGACTGTAGACATTTATTTCTAATAACAGAACCACAAGCCTAGCCTTATGGACTTGTTGTTGGAGGTCAATTCCAAATTACACACTGGATTTTGGATTTACAAATAAACTCCTAAGGCCGGCAGCACTAATGTGGCACACAACATAGAAGTAACTTTTATACTTACTTGTGTCACCCCTTAATATGAATGCACCCAGTGAAGCTTCTGTGAGGGTCCCATTCACATCCCTGCTACTGCTTCGCTCTTAACCTCAGTCCTTACCTTGCCCTCCATGTCACTGACCATTCATTCTCCTGCAATTTTCTCTTCAACTCTGAAGATGGAGGCAGCAGCTAAACATCTACCAGACTGCATTATATCACATCTGAGAACATGGTAATATTTTTAAGAAGTGGTACACATTTTACACTCACTGCATATTCAATGTTTTTCTCCATTCTCCGTTTCATACCCAAGCCAATTTCAGCCGGTCTCCCATCAAGATATGAATAGTCTGGTTTGTCTGTTAGAACTCCCCTCATATTTGGATTCACCGGTAATTTCCGTCTGCAAGAAACAGAACCTGAATTGAGTTGTGACTCGTGTAACTGTAAACAAACGAAGCTCACAACAACTTCTACAGAACATATCACTCAGTACCTTGTTGGTCATCAAGTGCCTTCAAACAGTAATGTTGCGGAAAATGGGCCCACGTGATAACTCTATCTATGCTGAGGTTGCTCTAAAATGTAGCACTAACAGCAGTGCTATGTTAGTGTTTCAGTATTGAACAATGAAATTAATCATTTAATTATTGTTAACTGTTGCTGAATTTCAGAGAAAGAATGCCATAAGCGCACTTCTCACTGTATTCTGAAGACATTCCTTGCTTTTTCCCAAAATTCTTCTTCAGAGTTATAGAACTATATGAGATCTGGCATTCTCATGGCAGTGATTATGTAGACTGTTGCATTTTGGAACATAATACTGTGTAAATCATTACCCATATATTTAAATGATCTATCATAGGGTATGGAAAAATATTCCAGAAGGCCTTAAAGACCTTAAAGACTATGCATCTAACCTAACCCAACTTTTGGTACTGATTTTGTTTTGTGGGTTATTAAACACGCTTTCAGTATTGAAACCATACAACATTCAATGGTAGAGTATGAAAAATAGAATGGAAAGGATTTGGAATGAAGTAGTTGTGGTGCAGGAAAGCTAATATCATGAAATTTGTCTGAAGAGACTGAAAAAACCACCAAAAAAACACACTCGGGAAACCGCTGTCAAACTCAAGATCTGAAACAAGCACTCAGACCAATCTCTTTGGTTTGGTAATGACATTTAACCAAACGCAATGTTATACTGGCAAGACTCAGCATCCAGATAACAGGAAATGTACCTAACGAACGTAAGACTGGCATAAGAAAAAGGGTTTGCAATGTCCATACTTCTCCTTAATACGTCAACACAAATATGGATATGTACAGTTCTAAACTTACTGTATCCTCCACTTGTGGTCTAAATGCAGAATACACGATGTACCAAACGGAACTATGGCTAATTTCAACATAGACTGTTCTGGATCTGCAAAACAAACGAATATTGCACAAGAACGAAATTAGTTTAGTTCGTAATTAATTGCTGCTGGGTACATGCACAACAAACGAGAAGTGCATTATCTCATGTAAATGCAGATAATTTAATTATGCCCACAACGGATTACAGGTTAGGTTGTATAATTCATTACACTATAGGCTGCACTATATTAGTATTCACATAACTCAGTGTCTTGTAATTTTGAGTTTATACAGTTCATAGAAGTATAACTGATTACGGGACTTACAATGTAACTTGTGTAGGCATAAGCGACTAAAATGAAAAACAGACGCCATTTCGCGCGCTCTGAAACCTCTGAAGCTCTGAATGCTGTCACAGACGGTCAAAGTCGATTTTTACGCCAAAGAGCATCATTCAGAGAGATTCAGAGGACCCACATGATTATGACGATCATGACACTCAGGTGAGCCTCCATTTTTGCGCGCGATAGTGCAACTTGCATTATCTCGTAGCAATTTGGGTCCTGTAAGATTACGTTTTAGTTAATAGTGGATAATTGAAGGAATTAAGTCCGGAAAGTGGTTCAAGGTCTTCGAATCCTTTTCGTACAAGAGGCACCATGGCCACATTAATTGACTTAAATAAACATTGTAGCGTGCAGAGCCCTTCCTGGGTAACGCTCGTAAAGAACATCTCCTCAGCAATGAATCAACACGCAACAATAAAGGTACTGCGGCAAACGGCGTTTTCTGCGGTGGTCTATGCAAAAGAAGCTCCCCGTGTGGAGGTGGGGTCGAATACTTCCATAGTGACCCTGAGAGTTGTAGGAGGCGACAAAAATGGAAGTCTCAAATCTGAGACAGTAAAATATGGTCACAAGTCCCAAGAAAGACTGCACTGTCAAGAGCCAGCAGGATGTACAAATGAAACATCCATCCTCTTGTCAGAGAGGGGGCCCCACAAAAAACAAGACCATAGCTGTCAAACAGTAATAAATATCTGGGCTCAACACGAAGACTTCCTGACTGAANTAAATATCTGGTCATGAGCCCCAGATGGGGCTCAACACCAAGACTTCCTGACTGAGCGTCAGTCGGGAATGTGACTTTGACTTTGACTAGGGTAAAATCTACTATACAGAGCCTGGACTCACAGAGGCCCTGTATATACATTTTTAACATACTTAACATTTACAATGTAAACATCTTTTACATCATGACAAATGACTCACTACTGCAGACAATGACTGACAAAAAAGAAAGACCTGTCTTCTTGTCAGAGAGGATGCCACACAAAAACAAGACTGTAACTGTCAAACAGTAATAAATATCTGGTCATGACCCCCAGATGCAGACTTGTCACCCAAGAATGACTGGCTGACTGACTGACCATCAGTTGCAATGTGACTTTGACTGAGTGACTCTGTGTGTGAGGGAAATATTTCTGATTCACGAGTGCAATATTTGCAAAACGATTTACAACAGAAAACTTGTTAGGATCATCTTCAGTAAATTAACATCAAGGACAATGACATGAGGGAAATAAAAATGTACATTTGGTAAACCGGTTTACTTCAGCGGAGTACCCATATAACAATTTCATCAAAAGTCTGCTATGCCAGTGGTTCTCAAAATGTCACACTGCAGGCCAGCAAATTCTTTTTTCTATAAGACAAGGGTCCGGTGGTCGAGACACACTGTGCTATTCTCAGTGTGACCAATCATGAAAAGTCATGCACAAGTAATGCCACATGCAGGGCCTATAACTTAAAAAAATAATGGATATTACTAATCCCATGTGGAGGTGGAGTTGAATATCTCCACCATAGCTCTGCAAGTCGCAGGAGGCAACAAAAAGGAAAGTCTCGAATCTGAGACTGTAAAATATGGCTGAGTCCCATTGAACTTGGACCCGAGAATGACTGCGCTGGCGAGGGTTAGCAATTTTAAACGACAGACCCACCCTCTCGTCAGACTCATTAAACTGGGCACAGACCTTTATACTTATTTATTTTGCAGAGTAAGCCCCCCTCCCCCAATTTCCAGACAGTTACACCGTATGATATGGCAATAACATGGAAAGTACACTGTCATTTTAATAGTTCTGTGCCAGTAAGAAATAAAGTGACCTAATTCCATAACATGTTGCACTTATGTTTCATATTATCTGGTCTATAACTTTTGTGCTTGCTGGTGTATTGACTGCTTACCCTTTAACCCTGAATATGTCAGATGTACTTCCGAGTTGTCAGTAGTCTTCCTGCAGACTGCATGTCATCACTTCCCATAAGAGGCCTCTTCTTAAGATACTGAAGTTTACTCACGTAATTAAAAAAATATTGGCAACGAAGTTTCTGATCACTCTAAAAACTCTACTATAATACTTACGATACTTGCACGCTGGTTTAATGGTCATGGTGGCCATACGTATTTGCAAGAGTAAAGACTGACTTTCAAAATTACTTATTTTATCTACTGTGTGTAGCGTGTCCTTTATTGTTTGTGTAGTTTTGTGCACTGTGTTTTGTTTGAGTGTGGTGTGTTGTGTGTGCGCTGTGTCTTATTGTAGTACCACTGCCACCGGGTAAAAACCCATTTGCAGTTTAAATAATTAATAACAAAAAATAATAATAATAATAATAACAATAATAATAATAATAATAATAATAACAATATCAACAACAACACCAATACTGTTTCAGGGTTGCATTATGTCTGTGGTAAGAAAGAGGAAGAAAGGTGGTAATATGCCAGATGATATGAATACAATTTCAAGAACATTAATTATATTTACTAAACAATTGCAGTTGAAATGAAGAATAAAACAGACAACATGATGAATATAATTTATTTTTTAGAAATGTTCTCATTGTAGAACAAATACCACGTAGTGGAATATATGAATGTACATCTACAATGTAAGCTTGACAACAATTATCACTACAGTTTATTCAATAAACTTCATACAGATGTCTTCAATATAAAATAACACAAGAAAATTCCCATCACAATTCCCATTACCCGTGAAAAATTCATCACACCTAGATTATTCAAAGTGTAATCCTGAATATATTATTATCCATGTAACCTGCAAAAGAAAGAGAATATAAATATCTGTGCAGCCCACAAATTTTATATTAATTTATTTATTTATGGTTCACTTAACGATGATGTCCTTAGTTCAGAATACAGGGTGTCAAATGGTGAATAATGAACTGGAAATGACACAGAATGAAGCACTCATCTTCTGATCTGGAGTACCATCCTGGAATTTACCTGGAGCAACTGAGAAAATCCTGAAAAAAGCTCTGCTGGCTTCTGGGACAATATCTGAACATAGAAACCTCCTGAATATGAGGGGAGAATGTTATTTGCTCAACAAAAACATCTGATGACTGTTTAAAAGAGTATGCTGCATAACCTGTGAGATAATTAGCGCTATTTCCTTGCAGCTTTGACAATATTAGTAACATACACTTGCCAGAAACTCATATTTTTTATGAGCTCTTCACACAAAATGATGGTATGCATGTGTTTGGGGCTATTTACATGCTTGATTTCTGAAATCAGTGAACATACTGTGACGTGATGCCGTGTAGTCTGATCTTACAAACTGCTTGCTTCCTGATTCTTGCTAGCTACTTGCTTCATGTTCTTTTTGACCCTGAAGATGGACACATTATGTTCTTCCAAAATTTCAGTGGACTTCTACTTGACTATGCCATGTTTATATGCCAGAAGACAATAAATAGTTTTCATACTGTGAATCTATATTGAGAGTTGCCCTGCATACTGAATTTTGGGCTTAAATGAAGATCTACTGATTTTCTACAAGGGAGAAAAATATTATTCATTCAAAAGGTTTGTGATGTCAATTCCCCAGCATGTCATGAGTTACGACTTTCATTGGATACATTTTTTGTTGTTGTTGCTCTGAATACTCCATGGGGGTGAAGGGCTTGCTCTAAGCAGTGTGTCGTGTGCAACATTCTAAATCAATTTTTCATCTGCACTAAATAAACATAACAGACAACAGAACCTGGGTATGAGCAGCAATTACAGACTCAATTGGTTTATTTAATTCAGGGATTCTGTAAGACACTTTGCTGCATTTCAAAATAACATATCTTATCATCTTCTGGGATTTGATGCCATGTAGTCTGGTAGATATGTACCACTCATTTTATACCTTGGAAGAGTATTTTGTGTATTTTAATTAGGGTAATTTTGACACTGATCATACTCATGAGTTTTAGTTGTATTATTTATTTATATTTGTACTTTGACTTAGTACTTTTGTACTGTTTATTTATTTAATTATTTATACTTTATTTATTATACTTTGGAAGAGAATTCTGAGTATCTTTAAGATGTAGTATTAATCTGATATGGTCATATTCATATAATTTGTACAAAGGTGTTAACAGTTTTAAATTGAATCTGAAGAATTCTAGTCTTGTTACTCATTTTATGTATTGGAAGAGTATTTTGTGAATTTTAATAGGAAGAGTAAACTTAATGCTGGTTATTTTCTTGGGTTTTAGTTGTATTATTTTATTATATCTGTATGATTAGCATTGCGCTGTATTTTACTGTTGTTTCTTTTATATATTTGGGAGTGTATTTTGAGTATTTTTGATAGGAAGGGTTGAATTGATACTCGTTATGTTTTTTATGATCTCAGTAGTATTATTTAACATATCTGTATATTGACTTGGTACCTTGTACTGTTTTTATTTATGTGTTTTGTTTGATTTTTCCACATCCTCTGAATGTATTTCTAGTATTGGATTTATGGAAATTACTACTACTACTACTACTACTACTACTACTACTTCAGAAAAATCTACTGCCTCTTATCTTCAGGATATCACTCTTCTACCCTGAACATGGAGGCAGCAGTTTCCTCGAAAAGGCTAGTAACAATCTACCAGACTAGACGGTGTCAGGGCACAGAAGACTATTATCTGAATATAGACCGAAATAAGGACTTAAATCTCAAAACCCTTTGTTATAAAGAATACAGTCTTCTGTGTTGTAACGCCATGCAGTTTGGTAGAAGACCACTGATGTTTTGGAGTAACATATTGTTCTTGCTGGTTTCTTGCTTGGCTTGCCACTGCTCCATAAGCTAAACTCCACCTGCCAGACCCACACTAAGGTGAGATAAAATTGTGTTCCTGTGCTTAATTAGTTAAGCACTACTACATGAAGACATATGGAGGAAAAGAGGCACAGCTCCATTGGTTTTAACCTTGGCACTAGATGGAGGTGGGGCTGCTTTACCCCACAGAAAGAGACCCTGGTACCCACTGGATAGGCTTGGTGGGCCCTAGGGTCAGTCTGAATGCTGTGGAGAAAATCTTTCCTGTGCTGGGTCTGGCCCACAGCCTGTCAGTATAGGGACTCCCAATGCAGAGGACTGGGATATTTAAAATCCCTTATCCTGAAACGATGATTAATTTAGCTATAACTGGACTCAGCAATTACTGCTACACATGATTTTAACAAGTTCCTGTCACTAAACAAATACACGTGTTGATAACACATGACATTAACAAACAAAAATAGGGTATGTATCACAAGCTGCACAAGCAATCTATGCATAAGTAACAACAGAAATGTCTCATAAATATTAGGGTAGGATGGGAGACTTAACAGGATTCCACACCTTCACCACATAAAAAATGTACCCACCAAAAATCCTGCGAATGATGTCATAAAACCTTCTTTTGTCAATTCCCATGCACCTCCATATTCTTCTTCATCCACGCTTTGAAAATTTGTGAAATATATGTAAATTAATCCAGCGTTCACCAGGACAAACCTGCGATAAACACAACACTATACTTGGCCATGTCCAACAGAATGTGAATATTTTAAGGTTAGGTTGCTTACTTTCTAATTGCAGTAAAAGCAGTAACAGTGATACTTACAATAACAATGCAATGAAGCCCTTTAATGGAATGAGACCCCACAGCAAGCCAATAATTATTCCTAGAGCCTGTCTTGACCAATAAATTACATCCAAGAACTCCTCCTGCAAGAATTAGTGTCGCAGTACTTGATGAACGTATGCAATATAATTAAGTGCTAAATTATATTCCCTGTTACTGTATTCATGTAAGTTTCGACAAATACCTTATCTGGCCATTCTGAATTAGATGTGAATGCCCTTGTCCAAACTGAATCCAGGGCCTGCGACTTTATTGTTGCACCATTCTTTTCAGAACTCTTTAACTTTGACGTCATCTTGTGACTAATGTAATATATAAACTGAATTAAATTTAATCAAAAACAGCTCATTACCTGTATTTACAGTACGAAATTAATCATACCATTACTATAACATTCCTAACTTCGACACTTAACACGCATTACGCGGCCATATTTAGAAAGTTGGTTACATCCTGCAGCTGATCCACGCATCCCGTTTACGGACAAACCAATGACAAATCAGCTCCTTTGCGATTCCACTCTAAGCCAGTTTGTGGTCAATTATGTTTCTGACGGCCTTTTTTGGCCCCATTAAATACATACAACTATACGAATTCTCTTGCAAAATTGTGTATTGACTTCAGGGGCCATCTCCGCCATCCAGATTAAAATAATTAAAATTGAAACAAGAAAATGTACCAAACATAATTATTTTTAAACATATTTTATTCTTCTGCCTTGAATTCTCTCGGGGAATTGGTAAAAACATTCTTAAAAGGGTGGAATGTTGTGTAAGCGTGTTTTTGGCTGTTTGTTTTCTGGGTTATGACCTAATGTACTGGGAAGTTCTTACTTTTGTTGACCAGTTCACAGCTGGGCGGCTGGCGCTAAAGGCCGACAACCTTACCACCATCTGTTAGTCAAATGTCTAGAGAAAATGACAGCCTTGATGTCTTACAACCCCATGGGCCTTCATGGCCTGTTACAGGGACAGTTTTTTTAATACGAAAACATGAGAGAACAGACCATTCTGAAGACTTGATCATACACAAAATAATAATAATAATAAAATGGGTCCTAATGAAATGGGATGTGAGGGTTTGGACTCAATCTAACTCAGGACAGGGACTAGAAAATGTCAATGCATCAACAGGTTTCATAAAATGTTCGAAATTCATCTGAGCATCGATTACCTTCACAAGAAAGGCTCTGATATAAAGAGTTGGTGTTGGTTGAAAAAATTACTTTGTTTTTATTCTGAAATTTGAAGATGTTCTAAAATGGGTGTAGGGTGAATTGCTAATTTCTTTTAACTTTAAAAGGTAATACAGTTTGTTGGGGTAATAAAGTGACAAATTAAATTTGAGGTTAATGAAAATTCCCTATGCAATAACATTATTTTATACAAAAGAGAATTATTACAGGAAAGACTGACCAATAAAAGACAAGACACTGACTTTTACATAGCATACACACATACATCATTCATGTCACCAGCACTGCAACCAGGTAACTAAAATTCAAAATACTCATTTCCTTAAGAAGCTAGCAACAACAATAATAAGAAATTCCTCATTTACTATATGAAACACAAATAACTGATTCTGTACCCAGAAAGAGAAGAAAAAATATCACATCCAATCAATGTGTTTGCACCATATACACTGTAGGTAACTTCTATATCCTACTAAAAATGTAGGATAATTATAGGTATTAACAATTTTGATTACATTTTGTAAAAGAAACCAGTGAACAAAATCAATGTAACAAGTAGTTAAAATTACAAAGAGGTCTTGAGCAAGATTTTGGTTATAGCCCAGATATTAAAAAGCTTATCATTCTGTGAAAATTACTCTCAAACTCTGAACAGCTTAAGAGCAATGACTACAATACAAACTAACTTTGCCTGTATGACACAGGACATTTTATTTGGTAATGCAACTGATCCTCAGGATTGGAAATGGGAATTCATGCAGGTAGATGACATCTACTTAGATCCAGAGTGGCTGTTTTAACAAAGGTTTTACAGTGTCTTTTGACGTCATAACTATTGCGCTCAACAACAATGCATTTCCAACACTGTATTGTAACAATTTACATTTTAATGTGTGCTGATTATTCCCTGGGCTCTTCTACAAGTCTGGAGCATCTATCTAGTTCTGATGAGCCATTTCCATCCCTCTTTATATTCCTGATTACAAAAAAATAATAACGAAGTTATAACATATAAAAATGTGTATGTGAATACTGTTTTTCGGCATATGACCATGTGTATTGCACCTCATGTTAAGAACAAAAACCAGGAATCACTTAATGTCAATAAAAAAAGAAGTAAAGCATTACATAGCATTATACAGAAAAAATGTATAAAAACCAGGAAGAACATGAGAATTCGAGATGACCACAGTAAAGCAACATGTTAAAAGAGATTTCCAAGTCATCGCTTTTTTTCTTTAGTCAGTTCTGAAAAAAATTTGAACATCCACGCTAAATGCAGATACACGTTCACTTAAAATGACTACTGACGTACAAATCTACATATTTTTCTTCTACAGTTCATAAATTTCCTAAAATGTAATCAATTAATATTGACAAAATGTGCAATGTTACCGAAGATCTCTGATGCATGATGAAGCACAGTGCAATAAGCATGTGACTTGATGGTTTTAAACTATCAAGATCCATTGGTACAAGTGTAAGTTGCAGTGGCAGATATATCTCAAGTTTTATCTATCAATTTCATTAGTTGTTTAAGCACCATTACTGCCAATGTAGCAATAAAACGTCATCTACCTTGATTTTGTCTGCTGTTGTGTATTCTCAAGCTGGGTGTCTTACAGGTTTCAACTGCATACAAATTTAACCTCTATTGTCCTGGTATATGGGATTTAAATTTCCCAGTACTACAGCAATGGCAGCTAGATCTTTATTCTGGGATATTTGTACTGAAAAAATGTGATGTTAGGCCAGGTGGAACTGCACATATGCCATACCAATACTACAGCACGTGGCCAATAAAGGTTGAAATACATGTTTTGTTTCCTGAAGAATTACACAAAACATTTATAGTGGCAGCCAAATGTAACCTGTTCTTATTTAGTGAACCTAATCTCACTGGTGACAGCACAAGGAAGGGAAACTAGGATTAACATTATTATAAATACTAAAATTATCACAAAGAACAGAATCTGAACATGTTAAGTAATGAATACAGCAATCTTTTTCTGTAAATATATAAAAAATTAATTTGATGCTACTTTCATAATTCATCAGCACTGAAGACATATAAAATAAGAACAGATGAATGTTTTACAAACATCATGAAATATATTAGGTTCTTATGCCAGTGAATGTGAAGATTCCTGCGATGTGACACCATGCAATCTGATAGTGTAACAATAATTTCACAGGAAGCAGTTGCCTCTAGCTTCAGGGCAGAAAAGTAAGGCCTCTGAGGGCCTACATGGTTTATAGCCTTCTCTTTTCATCTGTTGGTTTCCTCATGGTCCTGGTTCCTATTATACCTCTCTACAACTGTAACATTTCTTTTCTTACCACTTGGCTTACTCTTCTACCCTGAAGATGGGAGTAACTTTCTACCAGACTACATCCCAGAAGACAGTAATCTACAAACCTGCCATGATAATCTGAAACCTTACTTAACAACAAAGTGTTTACATACTTATGTGATTGCATATTTCAACATACCATTCAGCTGAACTCAGAAATCTGAAGTTATACACTAGAACATGCCCAGCTTTCAACCTCTGTGTGCTTTGTCCATTCAACTTAAATATTACTTTCAATTATACACACCTCCCAGAAATCACCACACAAATCATGGGGGCAAGATCCAACATAACTAAAATGTATATACAGACAGTTAGGCCTGTTACTTTATTACTGAATATCACGCTGTTTTGAAGAATAATGAGAACATTCGCAAAGACAGGCACTCCAAAAACCTGCATTTGCAGCCATGAACCCAGCAGCATGGTTTTACAATGATGACAAGTATAAGAGCTAGTTCGAAGAGTTCTATCTTCTGGGATATAGCACCGCGTAGTCTGCTGAAAATCAACCAAGGTGTGAGGCAGGTAGCAAGCACAGCTCACAGTGTTATATCCCAGCAGACAGAACTCTTCATAACCACTGCTGTGAGAACCTCAGGGCCTACATGAGCTAGTTGTTCTTTCACCAGATTGAACCAGAACAGATGAATACAGCAAGACTCAACAGCAGCATGTATTCCTTCAGCTGCCCAATCAAATTACCTGCATAAAGTGTACCCATGTTTTCAGACAAACTGCTCAAGGTACTTTCTAATCAACATAAAAGCCGAACACTAATTGAGGACAGTGGGAATTATACCGCCAAAGTAGGTTCTCTAAAATGTTATGTTGGCCAATGTACATTGTCTAATCTACAGATGACTGAGCAATCTGGCTCCAGTGTCAAAGCATGGCTTGTATTCAGGAGGTGCTGAGTTCAAATCTTGGCAAGGACACTGATTATCCTGACTCAGTTTTCCTCAATCCATCCAGGCAAATGCTAGGATAATACCTCAAATGATGCCATGAATTCTTCAACACCCTTCCCAATTCAATCATTCAACGATACATGAGTCATTAACAGAGTTGTTAAATAAACAACACAAGTGTGTATAGGCAGTGTTCTGGCAACAGTGTCAACGAACATAGACTGGGCACTTTGTAACAGACTCAACAGAAGAGGATCCTTTCCTCCCTTAAGCAAATGAGAGAAACAGCTGTCCAAGATAATATCTGCACAGCAAATGAGAGAAACAGCTGTGCATACTGTACACACCCTGGACACTGTCCAACATAATATCTGCACAAACAGGAGAAGTCAGAATATTTATACAATCCCAAAAGAGATATGTAGGAAGACCCAGAAGGAGAGGGCAACACGAGTTTTGTAACTTCTGAACACCAGAACGGACTTGCGGCCTCAAATTGGAAGCAGAAGAGAGAGGAGAATGAAATTATGAAATAAGGACATTCATGATTTGTACTTGTTATCAGGTTTGGGCCATTAAATAAATCAAGGTCAGAGAGGATGTACTGGGGAATGAGAAATGATTACAGAAATTTGGCTGAGACACTACAATGGAAGACACAATTTAAATGCAAAGATATAGATGAGAAGGTAATGAGTCTTAGAGAAATAAAATATAAAGTCTACATCATACATCTACATTCCTACCATTCAACATCATATGGTGTTGATACTGACAGTGTTGTTGTATACTTAAAAAACGGTTTTCCGAAATTTGCATCAACATACAGTTCTAACTTGCTAATCGAAAACCTGATCCTTACACATTTACATAAGCAAACAGATAATTAAATAATAATTAATTAATCGTGAGCTCTGAGGTTCTCACAGTGGTTACTGTGAACATTACTGTCTCCTGGGATGTACCATTTCAGAGGTGCCTGTTGCTTGCATCTTCAGGGTAGATAAGCAAGCTGACTTTGCAAGAAAGTTGGTACTGACAGTGGAAATGGAGGGGCTGGGACAAAGGCCCCCATTTCACATTGCAGAAGACAGTAATATCCAAGCAGTTAGCTGCATAAGCATTAAGCAACAACCCTAACACAATAAAAAACGTTTAAATTAAATTTCTTATCATTCTCTTTCCACAACATTACCTTTTCATGGGACATGATATTACATAATACAGAGATAGATTACCTAAAATTTTCCACATGATGTTACAATGATGTGTATGTAACATAATTAGATTACATAACTTATGTGGAGCACATTCTCTTTGGTGAGACAAAGAGTGAAGTTGATTCACACAAATACACAGTCCAGTCCAACTGATATAATCTTAATTTAAAGTACAGTGACATGCACAAGTTTTTACACTTAGAAATCTCTGAATTTTGCCCATAGAGTGCAATTATATGTTTTGCATGATTATCTCCCTAAACAGCAGTAACTAGTTCATCTCTGTAATGGAGATGCAGCATGTTTTCTGTGAGGTATTTAAACATTATTCACATGATCTTTATGCTTCAAATTGTTAATAAAAAGTCATATAAAAGATGTTACCAAATTCCATTTATCCTAAGTATCACTGATAGGCAATGGATATTTAGTATTTTATGATTCAGTGACAAAAAGTATTGCCCGTGCATGATGGCAGATGATGAAAGCGTTTATAACTGGGATCAAAGTACCAACCATCTTATCAAAAAAAAAAAAAACAATAATTTTCCCCAAAACAGATTAGTGTTGCTTGCTCCCTAGTTTAACAACATTTACATCTCTAAAGCTATTCTCACAGGCAGGTCAACCAACCCATATTTTTATACATACAAACTGTGACACTTCGGAAATGCATTCTGTTTCCATTTCCACGTGGAAAGGATCTGAAGAAATTCTACTCCAGTGGGATCCTAGGTACAGCCAATGTCTGTGTTCTTAACATTTAAGAAACATGTTCTACCTCTGTCTTTGTGGGGAAAGGTTGTGATGAAATCTGTATTCTGCTGGGACCCCTCATACAGCTACAGCAAGGTATAAGAGGAATGTACCTAGGGGACCCAGCAGAATATGAATTTATTCATATATTCTCCACCAGAAAACAGATACTGAACAAATTTCCAATCAGGTGTGGACCCAGACAGCAACAGATCCACAATCTGAAGACGAAAAAGGAATCCATTTTCAAAATGCTACAGCTTTTACTCAGAAAGGAACTAGGACAATGAACAAAGCCCAAGCAAACATCTGTCACACAACTGTCAAATAACTCTGAACTTAAGTCAGTCTTTGGAATACTTCGCAGTAAAAATTAATGAAGTATAAAAAGTTTAATGCGTTATGTAAGTAAACATGAAAAGAATCAAGCAATGAGAAGTAACGAGTTCAGCCCCATGTGTGAGACTGTGAATATTATACATATATATATATATATCATACTGGAAAAATTACAATGTAACTTGTGATCAACATGTTACTTACAATTAAATTATTTATACATAGAAAACACAACACATCTCAGATGTAGCTGTGTGCAAGTTATATCTATAAAACTATACAAACAAAATGTAAATCAAATGCAGAAAGCATCATTGCAATAAATAAGCCTCAAGATGCTTACCAACCTTAACAAAAAAAAAATGAAGATTACTGTCTTCAGGGATGACACACCATGTACTCTGGAAGAAAGTTACCAGTGTTTCTGAGGAACCTGCTGCCTCCATCTTCAGGGTAGAAGAGACTAATGGCCTGCACGTAACTCCATTTCCTTACCACAGTTCCCTATATCTGTACACCCATTGTCTAATGGAACTTTCTCTACTACCCTGAAGACAGAGGTTGAAGGTTATATTAGAAACTTTGGAACGACGCTGTCTTTCATTAGGAATATTCTGTGATTTGACAAAGGCATTTGATTGTGTGGTGCATGATATCCTTTTGAGCAAGTTGGCTGTATATGGACTTGGTGGTAAAACTTTAAGATGGTTGAAATCATATTTGGGAAATAGAAGGCAAAGAGTGGAATTGTATACTAATGGGAATGAAAAATGTTGTTCAGGATGGGAGATTGTTGAATATGGAGTGCCGCAGGGCTCGATTTTGGGTCCCTTGCTGTTTCTTTTATATATCAATGACCTGTCATCAGCATTAAATACTGATGATAGGTTATTGTTGTATGCAGACGATACAAGCATAGTAGTGTCTGGTATTGATATTGATGAAATCCAAGTAAGGTCTAACTTAGTGTTGAATTCTTTAAGCCGTTGGTTTGCAGTTAATGGCCTGTCTCTAAATCTGAAGAAAACTAAAGTGGTAAAATTTGATACAACTAATCGAGATAATATGTCTATACATTTAAAGTTTAATGATGAGATATTGCATCAGGAAACCCACGTTAAATTCTTGGGCATTGAAATTGATAAGACCCTGAATTGGAAGTCACANTTGACATGTTTTATATTCTGTGCCTGTGCACATTTGTGAATAATCTGAAACGCACATGTATATGTATGTATGTATGTATGTATGTTCCTTGATAACATTTAAACTGTCTACCAGACTATGCAGCATCACACAGGATAGGATGAAATGGAGGTAACACTCTGGACCTGTATGCAGGAGGTGCTCAGTAAAAGCTTGGCCAAGACACTATCCTGACTGTGGTCTCTCATGGTTTGCCCCATCTCTCCACCTAAATGCTGGGATAGTATTTCAATTAGGCCACAACTGCTTCCTTCCAAATCCTTGACAATTACTGATCGTACTATCATCCACTGCCACACAGTCTCAGTACTGAGAGTGCCATTATATAAAACACTAAAAGAAAGCACCTCACACCAGAAGAGAGTAATCTTCACATCTGGCAATGTAAGAACCTCAAATCTGTAATAAAAAAAGTTTATGTGTAATACAGAATGTCATAAGTGGCAGTATTATCGTTACCAACACTTGAATACTTTGTTGAAACTCTTTCCTTGTCCATAACCTAAAACCTAATTAGTTTAGCAATGTTTATATTACTACAGTTTATCTAGCAGTGTTAAAATGTCTTGACAACATATGCCTAATGACTGGAATGCTAGAGTTTTGATTTCTAAGTGAAAGAAAATAAAAGGTGACTTCCAAAATACAGGATGGTTATAAAGCACCTTCACCAATTTTTGGTAACAAGGCCCTTTGCCTTCAAATGTGCATCGCTGACACTTGGAGACTGGTGCCCAACAACAGTTAAGATCAACACAGTGAGGAAGAGATAAGGAAGAGCTATATATTACAGATGTAAACTATTCTAATGGAAGAATGCAGTGCTTTAAACTGTATATGTAACAAGTAACAGACAATACAATTTCAGCAATATATCTATTAGTATTGGTAAAAGTAACTTGACAAACACCCTGTATTTGTGGCTGATGCTGCCAGGTATTCAACTGACCAATACTATAATTCCCATTTTACCATGTTAGAGGAAAGACAATAAAAAGAACATATTGCTTTCCTAAATGGGGCAGCAAGATTGACAGCAGAAGTTGCTGTATACCTGGCAGCAATCTAAGTTGAACGAATGCACACAAGGAATGAATAAGACGTTCAGACATCCACGATGTCATCGCAGGTGAAGTCGTTTTCCAGATCAAAGCTCTGCTGCTTTGCACGAACTGTGCCTAACTTCTTGTCAAGCGACATTCGCTTGTCAACCAAGCTCTCCTGGGCCACCTATGGACAGAGAAGTTACAATTATCGTTCCTTGACAAACAACGATTTAGGATGCAAAGAGACAATACATGTCTACCACTATTCATTACTTCTGAACACTAGGGCCAATTAATACCAGTCGTCCGGGACATGACGCCATGTAGTCTGGTAGATGGGTACCAATGTTTCAGAGGAACCTGCTGCCTCCATCTTCAGGGTAGAAGAGGCAAGGAGACAGCAGGTTCCTCTGAAATGAAGCTGCATAATATCACATCCCCACAAGACCATAACCTTAATATATAACACTGTGAGAATCTCAGATCTCATACATTTACGTTATTCACTTTTTGTTCTGTACTTTATTAATGACAGGAAAGTTCCATCATGTGACTAATTACATCCACAAAAATATAAACTTCATTTTACATGTTTATGACTGTTCTTTGCCCATGGTGCAGTTGCTCTCGTACAGTGGCTAAAACTTTAAAGCAGAAGTACACTCAAACTATTGTATTGTAACTATTGTATATTGTAACAGTATCTTCCAACTGTACTGATGTAAAGGTGTCCCTCTGATGATGGTCTCTGAAGACGGAACATGTAAGGGCATGAATAATTGAAATAAGAAAAATCTTCACCAGTCACACTAGATGGAACTGTTTAACTTTTCATGACACTCAAACTAAGTAATAAAATTTACTCATGTAATTAAACAAAAATTACTTCTAATAAGGGTTCTTATTGCATCCAAGAACATGACTGCAATACTTGCATTCACTTTCACAACCATGGCAACCACACATACTGACAAAGAGTATAAGTAAATTTCATGATATCTTTGGATATTCTCAATTAAGTCTACAGCAGAAAACAGGAAAGCAACGTGTTTATATGTCATACATTAAACTTTTTCTACAGATTTGTGCAAACGTACAAGGGGATTGGCTGAAGAGATGATGAGCGAAGAAACAGGGTAAAAGCTTGACAGTGATATCATGGCAACAGCAAAGATATAAAGAAAGATACATGACTAATTAAGAATCCAATTGCTTACTCTTCTCCCCTATTCGTTCACTCATATCTTGTACCACACATTTCAGCAGACTTTCTGTTATCCATGTGTGGATTATCCACTTTGCAGACTAACCACTGGAGTTTTAGAACTTCCTCTGTTAATGATTACAGATTCCAAAATTTAGATAAGTATTGTCCATTACATCTGTTTCAGTAATGTGTGTCAAAAGTGCCCTACAGCAATTTGCAGCAGAAAGCACATACTGTTACCCAATGCAACATTCTGTTTCATTATTCTACTGCCTTCTCCTGGCTGGGATTCTGCCACTAAACAAGCACACTGCTTTCTTCTACTGCAAGGACACATGCCTCCCACTTTAGCAACAAGCAGCAGGACCAGTAAGTAATAATTAGGTGATTTTAAAGGTTGAATGCATCATGGCTAGTGACTACTTACAGATTTTTGGATTATCCATTCTATCCATTAATTACCCATGCTGCCACTCACCTCCACTGCCATGGATAAGCAAAAGTTCACTGTATCATTAAAACAAGATAGAATGGTACTGATAAAAGGCAATATTCTGTGTGGTCATGATACACTTCTGTTCCACTTACATACACATTAAGTTAACAAAACCAAAGCATATAAGCAACAAGTTCTCTGACTGCCCAGAAAACACAACAATTAGGTTATCAGCTGACTGTGTTGACCTTCAGGTGACTAAAGCCACGACAGATGATTTATACAGGTGTCAAAAATCAGAATTTTCATTAATGATTAATAATAAGAAAATATACATAAATGTAAAAATATATTCCTTATGAAAAGAGAAGAAAGACATAATTTCATACGGTCAAGGTCCCAGGTTCGATTCTCTATGAAGTCATTGGATTTTTTAATTGACCTAATCCTTCCAGCCGCACTATGGCCCTGGGGTCAACTCAGCCTCTATTCTTGGAATCTTCCTGGGGGTAAAAGGAGGCTGGCATGTAAGACTGACAACCTTACTGCCATCTGTGAGTCAATTGAGTAGAAAATGTGGGAGCCTTGACATCTCACAACCCTATGGGTCTCCACAGCCTGTTACAGCGATAGCTTTACCTTTTTTACACCATGAAAGATAAGTGGCAGCACACATTAACCATACATACAATACAAACATTCTGAAAAATGACTGTTTACGGGCAGTGAAATGTGCTTGAAAGGCAAATCCAACATGGACATCAGTATAAGAACACAAATTAGTTACAGAAACCAGCCTACATACAATCACATAGCAATGATGCACAAACTATTCTGGCAAATGGACAGCCAAGAACTTAAGGCAATACCTCAATTTGAGAAGATTTCCTTGGTGCACGCAGAATGCCCCAATTACTACCGCTATCTACTGAGCGACTTGAATGTTGCTGGAATGCTTTTCTATCAGCCACATCTGAACAAGCAAAAATAAAATGACATATGCCACAGCTAATTAAAAATAAAAAGCAGTAAAATGAAACATGCAGTCTGAAAATAACCAACACTGGTAATTCAGTGCATGCTAAGTCTAATAACTAAATGATTCAGTAGGTTTCTGTCAAAAGTCATTGGGATTCAGTTTGTTTTGTGGTTGCAGTTTTATGTTTGTGAAAACATGGGAGTACAGGCAACTGAATATAAGTATTTGCCATTTTTTTTCATTAGTTAGGTGTCGAGGGACTGATCCCTTGGCACTTAACTTATCCCACAAGTGAGCCAACTGTATCCGATAATAGAAACAGATCATCTGATGGAATAACAACTGAAAGGGGAAAGTGATGCACTTGGAGAAACCCTGATCCAGTGCCTCTGTCCACCATAAATCCCACAAGAACTGACCTGTGATCGGACCCGGGTCAGCAACTAAATGCCCGCATTATGGCATGGCCACATACCACATTTACACAACTACAAGGTAATTTTCCATCCTAATGACAGCTTTTAATTACATGAATATTATGATGGATTGTGTCCGTTATCTGGAGTGTATCTGACCAGGAACTGAGTCCACTCCCGTCACCCTGCGAGAAGAGACAGCAAATCTCAGTCACTGGTCAGGACATGCTAGATTTTGTACAATACAGTTTTACTGGTGACATGCAGTGCACTGCAAGCAACGTGCTGCAACATCAGTTTGCGTGACATCATCCGCAACATTACAAAAGTGCGCAGGGAGTCCGCCAAGATCCTTAAGTGCTGGATGTGGAAAAAAAGAAAAAAGCTAGCCATTCCAAATCATTTCTCTTTCTGGGAAAATGTGAAGCATAAAGTAAAGCTAACTATAAAGGCTTAATTAAAAATCACACTCTAGACATATGGTGGAGTGGAGGCATGGCTCCATACATTAACTTCAGTACTACATGGGGATGAGTGGTCAGCGTCATGCCCAGGCCACTTTAACCTCTTGACACCAATTGGATAGGAGGCTGTGTGGGCCCTAGAGGTGGTCTGGATGCTGTGTCCATGCCTCAATCAAACCCTGCACACAGCCTTGTCAGTAGACTGCCTGCGATACCTGAGCTCAATTTCTGCAGCTGTATGCTGATCAGAACTAAAGCCCTCAAAAGAACACTGCCATCCATAACAGCTCTGGGACCGGGTGCTGAGAATATTTGGACCTAACAGCGGCCGGATGGTGGAGACAACTGCATAACGAGGAGCTTCATAATTTATATTACACAAAATATTATTAACATGATGAAATCAAAGGGAATGGGATGGGCAAGGCATGCAGCATATATGGGGAGAAAAGAAATGGACATAGAGACCTACGAACAGACAAGTGGAAAATATTGAAATGGATGTGGAAGACATATGAAGTGGAAAGGACTGAACTGGCTCAAGACAGGGTCCACTGACAGATTATTGGGAACACGACAAACACAAACCATACAAAATAAAATCTCATTGACTCAATATAAATTCGTAAATAGCGAATGACACAGACTATATAAATGAGGGATAACAGTGTAGCAAGAAATGGTGACGCCTCATTATTAACGTACTATACCAAGTTTACAGGAAGGAAATGAGGAAAATAATAAAACAGCCTCAGACAAGATACCAGGTTAAAAGGCTCAGATTCAAACCAGTCACCTCTTTCCCTGAATGATAAACAGGAGTGCAAACCTCTGCAATATGAAGCTCTGTATTCCCTGTAAAGACTTGCAAGAAACACATGGCTAAAGATATGAAACAGACATAAATAACACAAAAATATGCAAACAGCATCAATGAATGCGGTCAATTTCCAACCTGATTCACTATATGATCCACACTTCCGTTGTTTGTTCTCAGATTCTGGACCACCGTGCTTGCTCAAACTGGCTGCTAGTTCTCGGACAGAACGTTTCTCCGCACCGGGACCTGTGAAATCACAATCAAAATTTACAAGCTGTAGGATGGATCATATGACTCTACAGTGAGGTCTGCTGTTACGTATGCAGCGATAACATTTCTAATCCTTCCAGATCCTTACCCATAACTGTACTAACTGGAAGAAGTGGAGGAAGAAAAGGTGGTGAAGAAGCATTTTTTTGTGGGTTACTTTACAATGCTGTCAGTAGCTAGCCTATATAGCACTGAATGATAGGATACAGAGTGATACACTCAGAGGGTCTGATTAAAATAACTATAAATCATACAGTAGTTTACTGTTGGAAACAAAAACTTGGCTTCTATATACCTTGATACATGTGGAGACAGAGGCTATCATGATGCGCCATGTTCAGGAACGTTGAACCTAGCTTGGTAAGAGGGATTCCAGAAATTGCATAATTCAGAAAAATCATGGAAAGCCTTAAGTCTGTACAGTGGTTCCTTTCATTGCACAGCCAGAGATAGCGGATCATTATTACACAACACACATGAAAAGTTTTTGAATTTTATTACCAAATCAAATACACTGTGATATAACACTGTGTAGTCCATTGAAAGTCAAATGACGAGCAACGCTCTGCTTGTCACCTGTTTTCATGCTGCTTTCTTGGCTTAGCCTTCAACCCTGATGAAGGAGGCAACACGTTGCTATGGAATTCAACCTGATTTTCAATGGACTATATGACGTTACATCCCAGAAGATAGAACTCTTCATAACCTGTGAGAACCTCAAATACTATACAATGCACTGCTTCTCAGCAAAATGATCAAAATTACAGAAAAGTCTGCCCACGATATGAAACTAACATAATCTGTACCTGAACCGGAGCCCATGCTAGCCACACCGGAATCTGTGGATTCATCGAGGGCATCCCCAGAATCAGGAGTATTGGCTGCTGAAGTGTTCGTGCTCGACCCATCACTTGGCAATGAGAACTCTCCTGCAAAAACAATATATTGTGGCATATAGACCTGTTGGTGGGCAGAGATCTTGAAATGGATGAGTACAGCCATTGTTAGCAAGACATAGATAAACAAACGGCTGTTTCAGAGCAATCGCCCGGTATAAACACATTTCTGCAGACACGACATCTGGGCTATCATTAGGCAACTGCCCATAACAACACAGAGGGACTGCTGGAGGTGGTGTTTTCTGTTGGGTATGCCCCAAGGCTATATAGCAAGGACTCCAGGCCAGCTGAGTGCAGTTCAGGTGAGTGAAGTAGTTGGCATAATGACATGAGCATGGAAGATGAATCCCCATTGCTAGGATCCATTACCAGGCAATGACTATTAGAGACTGTGACAGACTGAGAACACTAGTGTGTGTGTAACAGACTGAGAACACTAGTGTGTGTGTAACAGACTGAGAACACTAGTGTGTGTGTAACAGACTGAGAACACTAGTGTGTGTGTAACAGACTGAGAACACTAGTGTGTGTGTAACAGACTGAGAACACTAGTGTGTGTGTAACAGACTGAGAACACTAGTGTGTGTGTAACAGACTGAGAACACTAGTGTGTGTGTAACAGACTGAGAACACTAGTGTGTGTGTAACAGACTGAGAACACTAGTGTGTGTGTAACAGACTGAGAACACTAGTGTGTGTGTAACAGACTGAGAACACTAGTGTGTGTGTAACAGACTGAGAACACTAGTGTGTGTGTAACAGACTGAGAACACTAGTGTGTGTGTAACAGACTGAGAACACTAGTGTGTGTGTAACAGACTGAGAACACTAGTGTGTGTGTAACAGACTGAGAACACTAGTGTGTGTGTAACAGACTGAGAACACTAGTGTGTGTGTAACAGACTGAGAACACTAGTGTGTGTGTAACAGACTGAGAACACTAGTGTGTGTGTAACAGACTGAGAACACTAGTGTGTGTGTAACAGACTGAGAACACTAGTGTGTGTGTAACAGAGAACTGTGAATTGTAGTCACAAGTTATGTGTTAAAGTGATCAATAAATTAGGTCACCAATCCAAACCCCGTCTACAGTCACACAACCCTCTAAATCGTGACAATATAAAGTCACTGCAGTCCAAAACTACATGCATCACAGATACTGATTAATATGAAATCAAGATTACTCTCTCCTGAGATGTGTTGCTGTGTCGTCTGGTAGAAACGTACCACCATTTTGGAGGAAACTGCTACTACCTGCTTCTGAGAGAGAAGATGAAGGTGAAGGTGAAGATGGAGGCAGCTGGTTCCTCCAAAATGTTCTTTTCTACCAGACAGTAATCTTCGTATTCACTGCTGTGAGAACCTCAGAACTATGTTGAGTACTCTCTGAGTAGAACACATTCTTATCTCACACCCTACAACAGACACATTCGGTTTCCAAAATTCTATGTTTAGAAAAACTCAGGGACAAGGACTAAAACAACTGTCACAAGACTTGAAGCCCTCATGGCATATGAATGTGCATAAACCTTCTCAGGCGATGAGCTGTGTCAGATCTGCGAATCACTGGTTTTTAACTCCACAACAGCATGGATGATCACTCACGAAGATTTTAACAGTCATATTTTTTGTAACACATCTCTGTCTGAAGCGTTTAGACTTCACTTGCTAAGGAAACATACAGAGAAGCACACACATTAAAACACGTCAGTTACTGACATACATACCCGACTTCCTGTCACTTCCAACCATTGACCATGGTCTTGGCTTTGGAGCAATAGGTGGAGGTTTCACTTTGCTGGAGCACTGCTTTCCTGAGGAGCAGCTTGATCCTAGAGGGCATAACAAACAAACAAACAAATAAACAAAGAAGATCTGTATCTGACCTCAATATAGTCTCTTAATCTTCTATGTCTGAAGTATAGCTAAACAATATATACATATAGAAATCCAGTTTGTACCTCACAGGAAACACTCCAGCTCCACAACAACCAACTGGTTAATGCTGCTCAGGAGCATAAGTGCAGTTAATTTGAAACTCATATGAAGCACACAAATACACTCTGGGAAAAATGCAATACTTTTCAAATTCATAATAATATGTAAGAGTGGATGAAGTGCACTGCGTTATCGGTAGAAACTGCAGTCAGGGATGGGAACTTCTACTGAATTTCCAATGGGTACTCCACTAGTGTTTACACATCTATACTTACATCAATAAGAATTACTGACACAGTTTATTTTTACATGTCTGACAAAGCCTTCAACATCATCACTGCGACAGCCTGGGTCTGACCCCAGGTCAGGCCATGTAGGACTGTGGTGAAAGAAGTGGCCTTGGAGCAGGTTTCATCTAGAGTACAATGGTTTCCCTTGCCAACTCCTGTGCCACATTCATTGATAGTTCTATCATCAAAGCTACATGCCAAATAATTTAAAACATCACATTTCCAAGAAGTGGCAGGTTTTGCAACCTGCAACTGCTGATCAGACCTCACTGATGCTGAGAAAGTAGATCTCTACAGACTGTAAGTTGCATTTATATTGACCAATGGCATGACCATACAAAACATGATTTTCAATAATTTCTTTGTTACTACTTGAAGTTAATACTTCTGACGATAAATTAATAAACAATAGAATAATGACATGGAGACAATTTTTAGAATGAAGACAGAATTTCAAAGAAGGTTCTCAAAATGAAACTAAAAGAAAAACACACAAGAGGAAGAACATGCTCACATGGGGATGGGTTAAGAAAGATGTCACACAGAAGGATGGAAGAACGTGGAAGGAAATAGAGAAAGAGTTCCAGCAAGACAAGACAGAGGGGAGGCTCTGTTGCTAGATGACTCATATAAACATGGAAACATTGAACGAAGAAGTGGAATGCTGGGGGTCTCATGTCCACAGTTGTTACAGAACAGAGTGATACAGTATCAGACTTGGGAGAAAGAAGGTTAAACCGGATGAGGAGTGAGTACATACGCTTGCTTGAAGGTCTGAGATTCAGGCGCAGTAACTAAACCCCCACCTGAGTCTGAATTTGTCCGGCTGCCACCCACTTCCTTAGTCACTGACTTGAGGATAGGAGACTTCGGACCTTCGCCTGAACTTCCTTTGGGGAACCCGTTGGTTGGAGACCGCAATGAGTCTGCCAAGCCTGTGGACCGCAGCCTCACAGATGGCAGCACTGTTGGTGATGGTGGCTTCTCTCTGTCTGGATCAGAGTCCTAAGTACGAAAACAAAATTCAAAACTAATTACTATAAATTTAAAAAATACTGGTCATACCATGGCTCCGGCATTTAAGCACTGGTTTCTCATTGTTGGGCTTTGGGTACAATCTTAGCCAACTCCATGGGGGATTTGTGGTGGATGAAATGGCACTGAAGTAGTCTTTTCTCTGAGTTCTTTTGGCTTTCGCCCACTAACGCTCATTCCACTACTGCACAAAGTGCATGAGACCTAACCAGGCAGCACATTATAACACTGATGGTAAGAGAAGGTACAGTCAGGTTAGAACTTCTCAGTGATCAAGACTTTTCTTTTTTAGTTATTTAACAATTGTTTGAGAACAGGGCGTTGAGGAGAATATTTGGACCGAAGAGAGATGAAGTGATGGGAGGTTGGAGAAAACTGCGTAATGAGGAGCTTCGTAACTTGTACTCTTCTCCAAGTATATTTAAAATGATCAAGTCAAGGAAAATGAGGTGGGCAGGACATGTAGCATGAAGAGGAATGCATATAGGACACTGGTGGGAAAGCTAGAAGGAAAGAGACCACTGGGAAGACCAAGGCATAGGTTGGTGGACAATATTAGAATGGATCTTAGATAGATAGGATGGGATGGCATTGATTGGATTGATCTGGCTCAGGATAGGGACCAGTGGAGGGCTCTTGTGAACATAGTAATGAACCTTCGGGTTCCATAAAATGCTGGCAAATTCTTGAGTAGCTGCAGAATTGGCGGCTCCTCCAGAAGGGCTCAGCTCCATGAGTAAGTAAATTATTTAACACTGCTGTTAGAATCTAAGACTGTACAGCAGTGAATGGCAGGTGATGAACTGGAAAAGATTTGGAAGGTAGCAGTCAAGGTTACATTGAGGTACTATCCTGGTATTTGTCTGGATGGTCCAAGGGAGGATACAAAATATGTCAGGACAGCCATTGTCCCAGCTCAGATTCTAACTGGTACCCCCCTCCACTCTCCTATACAACTTCACGGCACAGTGGTTAAATTAGCACTGGGACTACTTTACGACAAAATATATACCTGTCGTGGAGATGATGTCCTCTTTTCTTGACGGGCTTTCATTTCAGCCAGCATAGTGTTACTAACGCCAACTTTTATCTTTGGTACATGAGACGAACCATCAATCTTGTCGCTGCTGCCACAGAGTTCTTGATTAATACTGCCATTACTGTCTTCTCTTGTCAGCTGTCCACCTGACATGCACCGTACCACAACATATTAAAAGAGACAAGGAAAATACAGCACAAATTTATACACTTGCATCACTCATGGTGGGATTTCTGCTTTGCACTTAGACAACTACGTTAAATAACTGTACAGCTTCAGTTATGAACCCTGTTCAACTGTGTATGGGTGTATTACATGCATAGAATGTGTTTTAACACTTAATAAAATAAATTATCATGCAAGATTAGAGGATCCCACAGCAGTGACTGCCATGCACTTTCATGTAAGTTTCCCGACATGGACTGTACAACCTCCACCTTTTGGGCTGAAGAGCAAACCAAGAAAGGAGCAAGCAGAGCACCACAATTACTCTTCTTCTTTCTCCCGCTGGTTCTGTATGGGCTCTTTCACCAGGTCCTCCCCGTGCAGCTAACTGTGCTTGCTGTTTGCTTGGCTTACTCTTTCAACCTGATGTTGGAGGCGGCATGTTTCCCCCAAACATTAATATAATTTTACAAGAACACATGGTCTCACAAGAACCTTTTTCTGATGTAGTTTACCATGTGCTGTGTGCTGCAAGTCACCAAGAGAGACTGCCTGAACTCCAAAAGCCAGTGAACACAGAGAGAGATTTGTTACCAGGAACAATTTCTGATTGCCCTGGCAAGAAGTTGACCACATTTTTAACCCATACATGTAGGATATCTGTATCTGCAGCACTCACCCTCAAGGCTCGCCTCCTGTCCAGTCATCCTCCTTGCCAGTGGGGATGCCGTGAGTGGCGAGTCTCCCTGCGATCGTCGTCCAATAAGAGGTGAGTACTTCTCTAAGTTATCACTTGACCTGGAGCGAGGTGCTGCCGGCTCTAAGAGTCCAGACATTCCCTTCAGGAGAGGCGAGCTGTGAATGTTAAATCAAATCATCAATTGGAATGTTGGCAGAAAACACACCACCAGCTTTTCACTGAAATATACTAAAAATTCCTGTCTTTTAGTACAAAATATGCAGGGCTGGTTATGGTAAAGAATAATGCAACTGAGGGTAAGACTGTACCTGTGGCCAGGCCTGTCTTTTAAGCCACTGCCATTGCTACAGCGGTCCTCATCCGCGTAGCATTTGTTCGGTGTGTCGCATGTCTGAGGGGGATCTGGAGCTATCCTCACGATCTTCCCTTCCCCGCCTGAATTGTACTTGCAGTCCACAGTCTTCCCTTCATCCTTACTGCCAGGCTGGTGATTTGGGCTGTCTTCTGAAGGAAATGTGTGTGAGCTGCCGACAAGAGTCCAGGATAAATGCATGAACAAAACTTTATACTGTGAGTTCTGTCGATCTCACGGCAGTAAGTGACAAAGTGATCTTTGGGATGCGATGTCATCTAACCTGCTACATATTTATTTTGTCACATGAAACTGCTGTTGCCATCTTCAGGGTAGATGGATGAAACTGAAGGCTCCTCCGAAATGCTGGTAATTAACTATCAGATGTGAAATTAATTGCATCAGATCTTGATATAAGAATGCAGCTGATGACAAGGTATACTGTGGGAACTGTGTGAGGAGGCTGTCGATCGGTGTGTTGCTGCTGACTGTCTTTACACTGACCAAATCCAGGATGCGGTTGTTCCGACAGTTCACCAGGAGACCGAAATGTGACAGGAAGTCCATGCCGACGTCACGCATCCTATCATCGGCGTGGACTTTCTGTCGCATTTCGGTCTCCTGGTGGACTGTCGGAACAACCGCATCCTGGACAGGGTCACGACGCTGTCAGCCCCGGCCTCAGCGGCCAACACACTGATCCCCAGTGTAAAGACAATCAGCAGCAACACACCGATCGACAGCCTCCTCACACAGTTCCCACAATACTAAAATAACAGCAGCTCTTTTTGTTTATTTACTTACAGCATGGAAAGAACTGTATTGTACAAAAAAAGGAATGTAAATAAATAGCACTGAAAGATTCCCACAAGATCTTATTTACTGGAAATGAAAAGAACACTACACAAGTATTGAAAATTATTTACTACCATTCATTTATGACACAATACAAAACACAGGAAACAATACATGAATGAAAATGGAAAGTTTTTATGCTTTATTTATTTACTAGCATAAAGACAACTGAAATTTCAGTGGGTAAACTGTAAGAAAACAAACTCTGTGAAAATACATAACCTCGGTAACTTCGAGGTTTTGGAGAAACAGTGACATTCATTCTGAGAAACTGAACTTGACAGAATATGTAACAATATAAACAAAACAGTGCTGCTGTTCTGAGAAAGTGTTTTCAACAAATGTTACTATAAAACAAACTTTGTCTAAAATATTGTCACATGTTGGGTGTTTGTAATGCGAAAAGTAACTTCACGCCATTTTGGATCTAGCGAATTTATTCCACATTCGCTCTTACATTTACACAATTCACAATGTCCCAATTACCGCCATCTGCAGTATCACAATTACTTCTCCTGCTGTAGTCACTTCCATTCACTCGATACAACTCAACAGCAACTCATGGCTGCTGGACTTCACCTCATCTCTTCGAAGGCTGGAAACCGACTGCTGATGCTCAACTAACTCCGGTGAACGCTAGACTGCAACTGAACTTATGACGTCTTCTTCACGTTCACAATTCACTCGCTACAACTGAACTCCTTAGGCATTCCAGTTTCTCTTATAAACCCTCACATGGACAGTGGAAAACGCACTTCGCTTCCTGTTGGGTAATTGCCGTGTTTAGCGACTGCCTAGCAATAGTCTCTGCATGGACTCGCCTGTTGCGTGATGTCACAGTCTAGCTGGGAGGGGTGTTTACCGAGCGTTGAGTAGTGATGGAAGGGGTGGGGGTATGTGACATCACTCGCAGAAACGCAGAGTTCACATGACTCCTACTTCTTGTTGCGCCATCCACATTACAACACCTAACCTAACTGCAATGCTGACTGAAGTACAGCCACCTACCCTTCAGACTTAAATATGGACCGTATTATCGTAACATTTAGCAGGTGGGACTGAGTAAAACAGTACAGACAGAACAGAATGATACCTGTCATCTGACGTAGGCGAGACAAGTGGTGTGCCAGTAGGTGTGACAGATCCTGGCCTGAAGAACGTGTCTAACCCCTCTCCCAGATCCTGAACATTCTCGATTATTTCTGTTGGCCGCAACATCGGACGGCTTGGGGCCCGTGTCTTGGCTCTTCTTGGCCGTCCCTTCACCAAATGTTGCAGCTGCTGCCCCACTGCAGTTGGTAACTCTGCCACCGAATCTAAAGATTCTACCAAATGAAACACACAAACACAAATCACATGAAACGTGTGGTTTATAAGAGCACTGAAGACAGACTGAGAGCTCCTCAAGTAAGACACCGTTCAGTCTGACAGGTGGGTATCGATCATTGAGAGGAACATAATCACTGTATTTTCCATCCTGATGATGGAGGCGGTATGTTATTTCAAAACACTGGTACAAACGTATCTGGCTACATGGTATCACAACCTAGATGACCACATTATGAGTATCGCAGCCAAAAAGGAAGGACACATCACAGACACAGTACACACAGAAACGACTCCCATAGCGGAAGAATCATAAATACGCGAGTTTGAATTTGGACATACAGATGAATAATCTTAACAAGTTTTAGTATATACAAATTTTATTATAGTTGACGAATAATGTACTTTCTAAATAATTTTATGAAAGACACAAGATGGCAAACAATGTAATAGCTTAGCGTAAATAATGAACCTGAAGAAGATGGCACTATGCTGCCGAAACATGTAGTAAGAAGCGATATATGAAATTGAGTGCACTATAAGACGGCCATTACATATGTATCATGGATGAAAATCAGTGCAACACGACGCTAAAATACAACAAAATTCTGAATACATTTAGAGACTGTTTCAACTTGCAAGTTTTTCTTTAAATTCCATTCAGTTAATAACATAAAGATTAAACTATGTTACCTTATATAAGATTTCACATCCTATAACTTTACTTCTTCCTTTTTATATGGGTGCAAAACTTGGTCTTTCATGTTAATGAAAGAACACCAACTGTGGGTGTTTGAAAATAGGGTGCTGAGGGGAATATATGGACTTCAGAAATACAATTTAGCGTGGGCTTGCACGGACTTATTTGTGGTTTATTTGAGAATGCTTTCAGTGACTCGTATCGTACAGCGTCAAATGGTGCAAGAGCGGTGAATAATNGAAGGAAGTGGGGGGGGGGGGGTAAAACAGTGAAAAAGCCTTGGCCACGACAGTCAGTGTCACAGACAAGATTCGAGACCCAGGCACCTCTGAATTGAGGTCAGAAATGTTATGGCCCAAGCCAGACTGCTTGAGGCCAACTTGTATGTTGTAAGAATATATCTACCTTCTGCAGACTTTGGCAATGAAGGCAGGAGATCAGGAATGTCATCTGCTGACAGACCTTCGACACTGTCGACAACACTCTTGGGTCGCAGCTTACGTCCATGAAGACTCTTCCGTTTTGTGGAAAGATGTGGCGTGGCCTGTGCATAGTGGACATTATTCGAAAATGTAGCAAACATATCAGGAAATACTATGCATACATATACATTTACAATGAACAGTTTTCATTACAGAAATATTTCAGTCACAAAATCAACTCTACTTTACTGCCTAGGCTTCAACGAGAATGTTATATTTAACCTTTCCATGATTTAGACAGGATTTTTCATTCAGAATATGTCACTTTTGCAAAGTGTTCTTGTTTGACAAACTATCTTTTTGTTCCTTTGATATTTAAGCTGTTAGTGGAATTACATTAACAAAAGTTATGGGATTTGTGGTTTACATGGCTGAGAAAATTGCCTCTTCCCAAGTTGCAAGAATTTACTGAATTTCCAAAGACCTATCAATTTCTTCAGTCAAAATTACAAAAATATTTTCTACTTTTTAAATCAATCACATCAGTCAAATACAGTAAAAAGTCATCCCCTGCCTTCTGGTGCCACTCACAAAATTAACGAGAGTGATATAAATTAATGGCAGATTACAGGACATGTCGCACACAACACAGGAACAGTTAAGCTTGTGGTCTTCTGGGTTATGACACTGAGCTGCGCTGTAGGCAGTGACCAGCATTTCACAGGAACTTCTTCACTCCATCTTCAGGTGTACACCATGACGACAGAGGCAATATGTCCACTTGAAGCACTGGGTAACCACTTACAAAACTACACAGTGTAATAACCCAGAGAGCAACAGTCTGAATTAGAATTATGTGTAAGTCACAATAAATACATCTACAAATGAAATAAATTATTTTCATAGATAAACTTCAACAACAGAGGAACTAATGTCTCTTCAGTGGTACAGTATACTCCCGATTATCTGTGCAAATTAAGGAGGAAAGATTAATGAATAAGAACAAACCATGGACAATACAAGATGCTTCATGAACATTTGGAAATGTATGCACAGACTCCCTCTTGTTTAATTATCTTTAGTTCTTCTGTATATTCCATCAAAACATTTTTGTGCTCCAATAAATATTTAACCAGTTAAGCTCAAGATGTGGGCAAAAACACATGTAGGTCTTTGTGCAAAGTAGCTATAAAAATTGTCTGATCTTCATGAAAATTAAAATGGTTGTACAATTTTTTCAAGAAATTCCCCAATATCAAATTTCATGAAGATCTATTCATTGTTTCTTGGCTTGTTTCATGTGTGTAGAAACAGGGAATGGATAAGCCGTGTACTAAATAATGCACACATAGAAAATTGGGCTTAAGCTCCGCTGCAAGGTTTGCATCAGATCTCATCCACAGAAATCAAATGTACTGTGTTTCAACTGAACTAACAGTGACACTCAAACCAGCATGAGAAAATGCAATGGGGTTAGTAACTGACAATGTGACACTCTGTAGTCTGGTGGAAGTTTACCAACATTAGTCTTCTTCTGCTCCCACTGGCTCTCGCTGAGTTCCTCTCCAGACCTGTGTGAGAACCAGGTCTTAAACATGCAGGTTGCTCGGCTTGATTCATGTTGGTTGATTGATTAGATTATTTTTCAATACTGAAGATGGACGCAATACATTCCTCTGAAACTTCATTAAACTTCTACCAGACTACAGGGTGTCACATCACACATACTCTGCTGTGAGATTCTCAAATCCAACACACTAGCAATTCATTCCTGCAATTAAAGTATATCTCTGTTAAAATGCAGGTTAATTTCATGCCCATGTGAAATACAGCCCCAACAAACATGTATGGCCTTGTCAATCCAGTTACAAATAGACCAAACTTACATCAACTTGAACTAAGATTCATGTCAAGGCATTAATCATGTACAAGCAAATGACAAAACTCTCATAAATACTTTTTCCTGTTAACACACAAAAAACTGCATAGAATTTAAAAACAATCATGAATATTTCTTGCAATTACCCATCAACACTCATGACAATTTATTTACAAATTATAAATCACTCCGTCCAATGTGACTGTAAGTTTGCCCCATATAAGAGGGACGATGTGAGGACGAACACGAGCCTGCGTGGTTTAGGAATTTTAATCATTGACAATCTAAAAAACTTTTAATTAGCATCAAGGAATTTTATACAATTTTTTAAAACTTACATTCCCAGGAAACTGCTGTGTTTATGAAATGTTCTATTCTGTGTGCTGTGTGTTGTAACATATAAGTGTACGTACTTTGCGTGTAAACAAATTATGTGATAGTGGTTTCCTATTTGTAGTGATGTTTGCCCTCTGAAGATGGTCCACAGAGACCGAAACATGTAAGGGTGTTAAGTTTTTATGTAGTAAAAAACTTACGGTCACATTGGACGGAGTGATTTATAATTTGTAATTGTTATTGTGACGGACCAGAATGAAACAAATCAAATTTATTTACATTTTCACTAGCAGACACATTTCAGCTTGTCAACCGCATTTACCGCCTTTCAGATCACAGTCTGCGAACCACTGCCACTTGCATACCCCTCTCCTGTTGATGTTTATGACTTGTCTAGTGTGAGTTCAAAAAGTGTGTTGCACTGATCACTACAATGTTCATTTATGGCTAATCTTTCCTCACTGAATCTGTGTGCATAAAATTGATCGTAAGTCCATGTTTTCATGGGTGACAGGCCAAAACATGTCTGCTAGCAAATTTATGAAGAAAGTGTTGTGATAAGTACAGATGGTGAATAAAACAAAACGATACTGATGATACATACCGGAGATATGAATTCAATCACTATCTTTAAAATGACAATAAAGCACTACGTTGTTAATAAGAGATGAACATTTCAGAGGAGCTAACCCTAAGTGGTTAGATGATACAGATGAAAGAAAAATGTAAACAATAACAAAGAAGAGATCTGACTTTCAGTTCTTGGTATACATAGAACCTACTCCCGCTGCTGAGCCATGGCTTTGGCAGAAATGCTCTGAAGAAGCAAAGTGCAGATACTTCTGGTACTCTGGTAATTACCTATGAAACTACACAGTGTCATAACCCAGAGAACAACAATCATAATTTTAACTGCTACATTAAAACTTCAAACCTTATCTTGCCATGGTCTGTTTTAAATTTCTCTTATGGGATTTACCTTACAAAATCTTATCAGAATCATAACATGAAATATCAAGGATGCCAAACAAGGAGAACTTTGCCTTTAGACAGGATGTAAGATACTTATGGCTCGAGCGGTTAGTCGCTGGCTTCCCACCGCGGCAGCCCAGGTTCAATCCCAGGTCTGGTCAAGTGGGATTTGTGGTGGACAAAGTGGCGCTGGGGCACGTTTTCTCCGAGTACTTCGATTTCCCCTGCCAATCTTCATTCCACCAATTGCTCCACAATCACCCTCACCTATCATCTGGGGCTGGTACAATAGGCCAGAAGTGGCCACAGTACAAGGGACTTAGTCCCACCCCAGTAGCAATAAAAAAAAAGATACTTCTGGCAAGATGTCAAGTCTTCTGGGATGTGGCACGATGTAATCTGGTAGAGAAGTAGCAATTCTTTAAGCAACTTATCTACAGGAGAGACTGAGTTGGCAGGTTCCTGAGAGCACTGGCAGCCATCTGGCAGATAACGTGCTGCCACAACCTGATGGCTGTATCTTAATGATCTTTCAAACTTCACAAATTAAAGATATGCTGATCACTAAGTCATATGGTTCACCGAAAAGGTAAGCCTGGAATCAACGCCCATATGAGACTTGGGATTCTCACAGCATTATGAACGTTGCTGTCTTCTGGGATGTGACACCGTGTAGTCTGGCAGATTTCCAGACCAGGCAGGATCTGACTGAGTCCAGAAACCAAGACAAGGACATCATAAAGTGAATGGATTATATTAGGGCCTTAGTTAAAGCGTGTCACCCTCTTTCCCACAATGCAGCTGCAACTGGTGCCCTGCTACTTCTTGTTTATCCTCATGTACAACCTAGTGGTCAGGTCTAAAACCAAAGTCTGTACTGACGCTTCAAAGGAGCCTGTTTCCTTCAACTTCACGGCCGAAAAGAAAGCGTGCCTGAATAGGAAGACGGCCTGATCCTCTGAAGCATTGGTAACAATCTATCAGACTACAAGACGTCACATCTCAGGGGACAATAATTCTCACAGTCACTGCTGAGAACCTCACACGTCACACAGTGATATTCCACGTCTACACAAGTGACTCTCATGTGCAATGAGCATGTTCCTTAAAATCATTGAATTAACATCAGAAGAAGACTGAAGTGATATGACTGAGTCAAAATGGTAGGATGAGGCACGCAAGCTGCCTGCACAATTCAGCGGGCACACAGGTTAGCTTCTGCTGTGGCGGCAGATATGAGACAACAAAATACAATTGTGGACATGTAGAAACACAGATAACACAAGTGTGTAATGAGAGGCACTTGTACAGCATCCCTACTGCATCATGCAGAACATTCTTGGCCCCGGACCAGCAAATCAAACATTAAATGTGCAGCTACAGTCTCGAAACTGACACACAAACCAAACAACACATGCAGTGCACAACTGCCTGTAGGCAGTCGCATGCATGTTGCATATTAGTGTCTTGAGCACAACATATGGCTTATACTTACAAGGTTCAAATATTCCAATTTCTAGATATCGATACCGCACGTTCAAAAGAGAAACACGCAACACATTAAAACATAGATATGGCAACACAGCAGATATAATAGCACAGTATTAATGAGGCTGCAGAAGGAAGTCCCGTGGGTAATTCGGATAACGATGCTTGAGGCCATCTACTGCTGCATTCCCCCACCATCCTCTCTGGCCTGTGAAGTCCACAGCTCGCGTCACTAATAAAGATTACTGCAAGGTTATCACTACAAGCATCTGTGTGAACAAAATGGCTGGATGTCTGGAGGGGAATTCAGGGAAGCACATCAGCTTGAGGGGTAATATGGAGGAGATTGGTCCATGGGACTTCCTTGCATGGCCTTAGTACAGACATAAATATACACATACAATGGTAAAAGTGAAGCTATCTTTGTTACATGATGTGAAGTCCCACGGGGCTGTGAGACATCAAGACTCCCACACTTTTTCTAGACAATCACCTCACAGATGACGGTGAAGTCAGACTTATACACTGGCCACCCTCTAACCCTTAGGAAGATTCCTGGTACTCATTTCTGTTAGAGGCTGAGTTGATCCCAGGGCCATAGTGTGGCTGGAAGGATTAGGTCAATCGAAGAAAAATCCACCTCATTGGGACTCGAACCTGCAATCTTCCAGCTTGTAGCATAGTGCCTCAACCAACTACGCTACCCCGTGCCCGCACATACAATAGTGATTTCCAATAAATGAATAAAGTATGAGATCAGTTTGAACAGAGGAGCATATCAAGCCCAAAAAAGGGTTACGACCAAATTGCTGACTAGGTAAAAAAATTGTCCCTGGACTTAATTAATTAAGCAACACACTGTCAAGATGTATACAGGAGTGGAGGTTTGGTTCCACAACTTTTAACCCTGGCAGCAGATGGAGGTGAGTGGTCAGCTTCACATCCCCAGGGAAATAGCCCCCCAGTTATATAGGAGGTCGGGTGGACAGCAGAGCTGGTACGGATGCTATAGAGAAGAGAAAAATCTCTTGTCCCCACTGGGTATCAAACCATGACTCCTTGGTCATCCAGCCTAGAGTCTAGTAACTGTACTGACTGAGCTATCAATGACTAAGCTTTCCTTAATTAATATGGCTGCTACAGCTATACACCTTCTGATACATTCATGGTTAATTATGATGGCTGTACAAGTAAAACCCATTTGTGGCCCTGCTAGTGAATGTGGCTGGCCACAAGTGGTCAAACAGCTGTGAGTGTAATGCACCAAGCAATCCACCACAAGCTGCACAACAAAGCTGACATGTAAGAGCATATGGGAACAATTATATGCTAATATTCTAAGCACTGAATGTGTCCAAAAAGGGCCAACACACTGGTGTTTAAGGCCCCTAAAACCATCAACAATGCACAGGATGTTGCGAAACCCTCTGAGGTGTCTCTACTGCCAGCAAGAGAAGGCCTCCAGGCATGGTCATGAGGGATACCGCTGCACTGCACGACACCTGTCCCTATACGACACTCATGGTCCAGGACGCACCGCACTCCACACACAGATAGGTGTCAGACCACACCCTCCATACAGCCTACATCTGTCACTGCATGACTTGCATGTGTTTGGCTCCGTCAAGAAAGTGCTGAAGGGCTACTCATTTGGATCAGACAAAGATGCCAAGGTCTTGGTAGTGCAGTTCTGCAAATAGTAACATTTACAGAAGAGAAGAAACTGGGGAGACAATGTTGAGAGGATGAGCACTGACAGGGTTCCATAAAACACTTTGAAATATCAACGAAAAGGAAAAAGAAATTTCAGAAGACCTCACAAACAATGGAAGGATGTTATTCCATAATATCTGAAACATCTGTTCAAATTGTACAGCAAATGCCTTACCAAGGAAGCTCTGGATGGGCTCGGAGACTTCAAAGTAGGAGGGCAAATTATTCAAACTGTGAAATATGCAGATGACCTTGTGTTAATGGCTCAGGGCATGATTGATAGACTAATTGAAATTGGAAGGTGCTATGGCATGGAAATGAATGTGGAGAAAACAAAAGTAATGAAAATTTCGAGACAACCAACCCCAGTCACAATAAAGATAGACCAAAAACAACTGGAGAATGTGAAATGTTTTAAATATTTGGATAGCTTGTTAACAGATGATGCAAGGTGTACTAGTGAAAT